TGCTTAACCTCCGTCATGTTCCAATTCTAAACATATTTAGCCTCCGTCACGTTCCCATCTTAAACATGTTTATTAGATATATTTGTGCTCGAGTACTCGTGGTAAATACTACTGTGACAAGAGTCATCCAATCAGTCATCAAAGACCATACAGTAACTCCAACATCTACTGTAGGTGTCTAACATTACATTGGAATCTTCAGATGTGCAAGCAATCGCAACCTAAAACAGATTAAAACAATCCACAAAGTATCATGTATAAAATATCTTAATTTTAATAATAGTTCTTTGAATATAATTATACGATACGTTTGTTTGCGATTCTTTTTATAAATAATTAACAAAAAACGAGAATTCAGAAGTGTAGATGTAAAACAAATTTCAAATGTATGCCTCCCCCTTTTGTCGATATTGCAAAGAACCTTGTGGTGTTTGAAATTTCCTGTAAGGACACTCTCTAGATTCACCTAAGTACATTGTAGTTGACAATAATAATAGATAATATTTATCTGACAGTTCCGTTGTCGCTTTTTGAACCTTCCATGGCATGAAATGTTGATCTTCTGCATCCCGGAATTTCAAAATTTCAAACGTATGATTTATTTGCGCACGCGCCAACAGTGCTTCCTATTGTTTGTTGTGTTCTAAACCTAAACATGTTTAGGCAAATGTCATGTTTAGCTTCTAGTTATATCTAACTTCAAGTGTCTTGTGTTCTAACCCTAAACATGTTTAGAGGAACATCACGTTTAACATTGAAGTGTTTAGGATTAGAACATTATCCTAAACATGTTTAGATCTAAACATGTGCTCAAAGTGTTCTATCTCTAAACTCCTTTTTTACAGTGTACATACTTTAAGACAGACTTTGATATTAAGATCTGATATTTATTTAGTACACTTATTAAGTACTCTTTTACCTACGCTACTGACATTTTTTAATTTGTGTTAGTTATATGTTTTTGGTTGGGTTCGTATTGATCAATGTTGTGTTCTCCGTATTCTAATTTTCTGTATACTCTTTTGGGTGATATAAATGATCATACTACCCATAGCTATCATACTACCCATATAGCTTCATACTACCCATAGCTATCATACTACCCATAGCTATCATACTACCCATAGCTATCATACTACCCATAGCTGTCATACTACCCATAGCTATCATACTATCCATAGCTATCATACTACCCATAGCTATCATACTACCCATAGCTGTCATATCTTAATGTAATACTACGAGGGGGGCGATCAATCCATTGCTTTAAAGGGGCGATAATTTCATTGCTTTAAAGGGGCGATAATGTCATTGCTTTAGAGGGGGCGATAAGTTCATTGCTTTAGAGGGGGCGATGATTTCATTGCTTTAGATGGGATGATAAGTTCACTGCTTTAGAATGGGCGATAAGTTCATTGCTTTAGATGGGGCGATAATTTCATTGCTTTAGATGGGGCGATAATTTCATTGCTTTAGATGGGGCAATAATTTCATTGCTTTAGAGTGGGCGATAAGTGCATTGTTTTGTACACAATTTAGATCTACAGCTCAGATGTGTGTGTTCAGATCACACATGAGCGTCGAAGCAATTTAAATGTAATCAAAAGTTTGTTTTGTGCATGACACATTTAATTTTTTTTTTGCGTGACTGTTTTACGTTTTGCAATTAAAGATTATTGGACGTTCCATTGTTGCCATTTGAAAGACAAAATAACATATATTAATGGATTATTAGTGGCCAAAGATGGAACGAATTTAAATCTTAAAATAACATATCATTTAAAGTAGAAGATATATCAATATAGCAAATTAAATGATTTTAATATTCCAGTTCTTAATACATTGTATATAAAAATTATAAAGATCAAGGAGTTTGTTAATGGATGTGACACTCTCCTCTTGTCCTTCAAGCATGCAAATTGTTTAACAAAAATACAATTCTAATCAGAAATCATACAACAAAGTATATGAAGTCAACATTTATATAATACTAATGGAAAAAACACATTTTTGAGTTAGCACTTTTTACCAGACTTTGTTTCAAGAGAGAAATATTACGATCGGGTAAAGTTTGGTGGTAAAGAATATTATTAAAGACCAAATTAAGTTAGGGTAGCTGTCTTGTCGTTACTATATTTATTGATCTAGCTTGTCATTACATTATTTTTTTTAAATCTTTTTTATTAATAGATGAAAATATTTTCAGTGTATATGGATATTCAATTAACATATATTTCGTTGCTGAATCTGGATATAATTGTCTTCAATTGATTTTTATGTGCTTTAAGTAATAGATATTTGATTATGTAATTATGTAAATTGTTTTATAGATTTGATCAGAAATTTCTCATTTGCAAATAAAGTCAGTACAATCAATTTTTCTTTGCTATGAATTTATGATAAAATGTTTCAGCTTTTTATTTGTTTGAAGTAAATGCAGGTAATAAAAGTGTTTTCAAAACACAGCCATCAAATGTTGACTTTTCTATGGCAAATTAGTTGAAATGTGATATATACGTCACTTTTATTCATATCTACCCTTTTTTTTACAAGGAATATGATCCTTTATTTCAACGATTAAAGCTAACAAACGAGACCAGTAGATATTATTTTTTTGACAACTAAATTGACTTTTATGAATAATCCTGTTAATCAAATTAGAACAAGCAATCATAGAATTATTATAATCAAATTAGAACAAGCAATCCTAGAATTATTATAATCAAATTAGAACAAGCAATCCTAGAATTATTAATCAATAGAAAACTTTGACGATAAGTAAGTATGGAGAATTTCAAAAAGATTTCTAGTGAACATGCTAAAATATAGGAAACTAGAACACACCCGCGAAATCGCAGGCATTTAGTGCGTGGTTGAAAGTATGTAAACTGTTCATAGTATGAATTTTCGTAAAATATTTTATGACTGGCTTATTTCAGGAAAGGTATCAAAAGTCTTAGCCTGCGGGTGCCGTGTTGACAGGACATGATTTTGTTTTAGACCTCCCCCTCTTTTTCCAAAGTCCGTTATTGCTTGTTTTCTGTTTTTCTCTATACTATGAACATACACATGATACATATACTAAAAATAAAAATTAATTTGCTATTCACTACTCAGATTTCCTATCAATTCCTAATCTACTATCCACGGCAGTCACTGATGTAGTCACAGGCACTTGTTTCTATCCGTGGGAAGCCCCACTATCAACGTATACTCGTAAATATACGTTGATAGTGGGGCTTCCCATGGATAGAAACAAGTGCCTGTGGATGTAGTATCATGTAGAGACTCTTTATATAATATATCAGCAACCGCCGTGGATAGTAAACTTGGAATTGATAGTAAATAGCAAATACATTTTTTTTTATAATATATGTATGATCATAGTATACAGAAAACCGTGAAAATAATTGTCCTGTCCTAAGTATTTTTGAAAATTATGTGCTATTTTTAAACATGTCTAAACGGAAGTATTGTTTATGACTTAAAAGTCCGTCCGATGACTGAAACAATATCCGGACGCCTTTTTTTCGTTTTTCTCCCAAAATAACCCAAACTGAATAATCATAATCATGGATGACAAATGCGACTATGCATGGTACCTATAGGACACAGGGGAATGATGATTAATGTATTGTGGAAGGAAGAGAAGCGACACACAAAATGAGGTCTCCTCGTTTAATAGTATAGATGTATGACTATAAAGTCTAATGTCAAGTGAAAATAATTATGCTAAACTATAAATGTCTTTTATTTCGTTTAAAAACAAGACGAAACAATACCGTTATAAACTCTAATTGCTCACCGATAGCCAGATTTTGGAACAGATTATACACATTGTTTGACTGTTTACATTCTAATAAAAAGGTGACATGAAAAAGTTTTTAAGTGATATATTATATCTGATAACTGACAGTGTAAACACAGTTTGTTCTATTTTCATCTGAATAACGGCCGTTATCAAAAGGATGTCTGTGACGAGTTTTTGCAGTTAATGGAGTTTTCCACAGTGACAAATGACCAATTTTAAAGTAACTTATGTTATCTTTTTATTCGTATTCTCACGCCTGTTTTTGTTCTATAATAAATCGGTTGTAATAAGTTGTCTTTCTCTCACGTCAGTTCGAAATATGTACCTTTTATGTTTGCCCTTACACTAGACTGTGTTACATATTGTCTCTTTCGTGTTGTGACCTCTGGAATTAGGAGTTTTGATTTTATATGTCATGAATGTCAAATGGAATTTAGACTGTTGATTTGTGTTATTAGTGTTTTGTCCTCTGGAATTATGACTTTTGAGATGCTTCTTGCGAGTAGAGGCTCTTTTGAGATGCTTCTTGCGAGTAGAGGCTATCAAATTTCAACTATTGAATTGCCATCCTCGATCGTAAATTGTTCATTGGAGTTCATTCGTGGTCATACTGCCCTCAAGATATGAGGTCCGATTCTTATTAACCTTTTCATAAAGATGGTTACATTGTACTTTGTATCCAAATTAGTACATTTAGATATGAAAGACTTAGTGGTTTATGGTTAAACATTAAAAAAAGGTCCACATCAAATATTTTCTTGTTTCTAATGTGACTTAAAAATGATTATCTCCATGGTTAAGAAAAAATTTGTAACTTCTGTTATTTTCTGTATTTAGTTATAGCTGCTAACAATCGACAGCCGTATTTCTCTTGTGCATAACATCTGATTGATTATATGGTGTTAGCGGTATAATTACTTAACAGTAAAATGAGTACCCTTTAAGATCGTTAATCTATCTATCGATAAATTCCAAGTACCTTAAGTGTTTTCGAAGCCTCTCATTGTTCCCAGTTGAAAACGATAAATAAATATTTGAATAGAAGCCCGTCGAATCAGAGCTATCAGCAGTCTGAAGAAGTATTGTGAAATACCAAAATTTATGTAACTTAATACATGCAATTTCCGTTAAACTTATTTGGGAAAGGTAAACGTCACGACAAATCGTTTAAATGCCCAATGCAATAAGTTGTGTGTGTTAGGTGTAAATTTTAGGACAAATACACTAAATATAGACCATAAACAAAAACATTTTTCTTGGGTATGGAACGCGTTCGAAATACTCGTCTTCTTAGGCTAGTTTCTGGAGGTAAAAATAAAAAACGCAAAATCAATTTGAAACATGTGGTTGCAGAAAATAACGGGAACATATCTCTATTGTCGATGACGGATACAAGCTCTATAGGTAGTGATTTATCAACATGTCCAGTGCATTGTACACCAGAAGAATGCTTTCTGGAAGTAAGTAAATACAGATTCTTTCTACATGCAATTCCATATAGCTGTTTTTATTCATTTACATATTTATTTGTTAACGTTTTATTTTTAACACTGCATAATGCCCAATGATGTTTTAGAAGTCTATAATATACATACGTTTTGTTTGATTATGATTATTTGTTGAGGTTGTTTATATTATCCTGAAAAATTAAGGGACACATAGTCGTCTGTTCTCATGTCCGTTCATATGTCTTCTCGTCTGTATGTCCGAAACAAATGGTTTCCGGATAGGTTAACGTTCATTGTCATTGTTACCTCGGATAGAAATTTGGGGACTATGGGAAGTAGCTCTGGTTCCCAGTTTATATCATTTAATGATCATGATGGAAATACAATTTAAGATGGTACTGATCTTTGTTATGATGAAAATCCAATCTGATCAAAACGAAATGATATAGCAGTTTATATAACTAATCAAAAGTTACGAGAATACACTTAGCAATGAATGGTTGTCTTATTGTTAATCAAACCACATCTTCTCTTTTTCTATATTAGCAAAAATTTCTCTAAATTTAAATCGAGGGACACTTTGAGAACATGGATCTATACTATAGTTACACAAGAACGATATAACATAAGAATGCAGATATAAATGAAAATAATGCAACATAAAGATAATATGAATTATACTGTTTGGCTAAAAGGACAACTTACTTGTATATATGGTAATGGGTTATATGAATTCCTTTATGCAATTTATGTGTCTAGGATAACCACATTTTATGCTTGTATTATTATTTCATGTTGAGTAAAGTTTCTGGAGATATTGTAAGGTTTGTTTGAGACATGTACCCACTAGATGGGACACATTAGTAGTTGTTTCCCTTTTGGAAACTAACAGACCAATCCTGTTGATGTCGAGGGGTTTTAGCTGATCCGCGAATTGATTGGTAGTTTCTTTTCTTTATCATTTATCATAGGAGTTTTGATTTTACTTTACTAAGAATACAGCTGGGCATTTAATGGTATCAGTATGGAATCCAAGAATGTCCTTATCGTTTTCCCGTTCATTGACATGGAATATGTGTTGCATACTAAGTTACCTTGTCCATTATTTATTTGGAAATGCCACTGGAAAATGAGGGTAACTTGGATAAGGACATGAATTTAGCCTTGCAACATGCCACCTACGGACCTCTCAAAGAGTTGCTGCGAGGGTTCTTAAAATGCAGAGTGCTTGGCACTCTCAATACACAAGTCATCGGATTTAACGTCCCCATTCTGACCGGACGTGTCTGTGCGCAACTTAAGGGAAGCCCCACTTTTGCAAGGTTTTTACTACCGATCAGTAGAAGACCAAGAGTGGCCATATTTCTATCCCTCAATCACCCTTGGGGTTAATATATCTATACATTTTATGTACTCATGAGTTCATAGTATAGTAAGTTGGTACGTATTTCTTGTGTGCAGTCGACTATTACTATATCAATTTGGTTACATAGAAAAAGTAACAAATACAATAAACGGATTATAGAAAGTTTAATGCAAAGATAATATTTATCAAAATAATCGATTTAAGAATAAAAGGTAAAACATGCCGCTAATTAAAAAACAGAATAGAACCTTTAGCACACCCGAATATTAACGAAATAACTCAGTGAATCATTTGAAACACATCATGATTTTACAAACTTTCCGTCACAAAACATCCAAAAAAGGTTTGAGATGAAATGTCCATTTTTAATTAGCCAATGCTGCCTCATGTCATCACTCCAGATTCCAAGATGGCTCAGATATTTTTTATCTATTTAAGGCAGATAATTGGAAACAATTGATGTGTAACATAGTGTTAATGACGACAGAAAGTATAAAATACTATTTTTCTCATCAACTAAGCACCAACTTTTAACATAATCATATTCTCTTCCGTTAAATAAATAAGTGGAGTCGAACAGCCCAATCTAAAATTATAGATCTTAAATATACAGTCCCTATTTAATATAAAATCTTGCTCTTTATGCTATGAAATAAAAAAAAGCAAAGTATTATGTTTTAATAAATGTAGCTGATAAAAAAATATGATAGTACTTTATTTGTATCTTTTGCTTGTGGAAGGGTGGATTAAAAGTCGGCACAAGCTGCACTTTGATATAATAGTGAATTTTCCACACTTCTTACCAAGTATGGAAAGTATTTGCTGCAAGGCTTTTTAAAATTCCATATTTCATATTTGCCGGTAATGGCCCTTGTTTACAGTAACCCCTAAGGAATTAATGGTCAATCTTTTGTATTTGGCTTTAAAATAACAAGAAGTTTATTTTTTATTTAAAAATGAAGACTATTCTTTTGTGTCCTTTCCTAAGGAAATAATCAATATGCATCACATTACAAGTGTTCTTGTCATGTTTCGATTAAAATTTCACCATTAATTTCCACTCATCTAATAATTATCGAACATTGAGGGGAAGCAAACATTAATGGTATCACGGTCTTTGAACCAGATGCGCATTATGACCATAAATATCTCTTCGTCGATGTTCAAGGACCAACTCCAAGACTGTAATGGAGATTTGAAGAAATATGTTGTTGCCTGAATTTCAGTTTTACTCAGAGATAACATATATTTGACTTTGAATTTACCGTTATTCTTTTTGTATTTGTGAACTATTTTGCTATAAATTCAACATTTTTTGCTAGAACAACACGAATACGAGAAATAAAAAAAAAAATCTAATCATTCTCAACAGACCTGTATCCTACTCGATCAACGAACTTTCCCCTTATGTAACTTTATACAATCGCATGACGTACTTGTTGCATTTTTATAGTTAAAAATGAAATCAGAATTTGCTTGTATGACTACGCTTATGTCATGAGGTAGAGTATAACGGGAAGGATTGTGCCTGATATTCATATGATGAAGACATAATCTTTCAATCAGTTTAATTGAAGTCTGGAGCTGGCATGTCAGTTAACTGCTAGTAGTCTGTTGTTATTTATGTATTATTGTCATTTTGTTTATTTTATTTGGTTACATCTTCTGACATCAGACTCGGACTTCTCTTGAACTGAATTTTAATGTGCGTATTGTTATGCGTTTACTTTTCTACATTGGCTAGAGGTATAGGGGGAGGGTTGAGATCTCATAAACATGTTTAACCCCGCCGCATTTTTGCGCCTGTCCCAAGTCAGGAGCCTCTAGCCTTTGTTAGTCTTGTATTATTTTTAATTTTAGTTTCTTGTGTACAATTTGGAGTTTAGTATGGCGTTCATTTTCACTGAACTAGTATATATATTTGTTTAGGGGCCAGCTGAAGGACGTCTCCGGGTGCGGGAATTTCTCGCTGCATTGAAGACCTATTGGTGACCTTCTGCTGTTGTCTGTTCTATGGTCGTGTTGTTGTCTCTTTGACACATTCCCCATTTCCATTCTCAATTTTATATAATGTATGTATTGATCTATATCTCTAAATGAAAAAAAATATATTCTCTGCTCGTAACGTGTTTCTGTAATTCATGATTTAGAAATTATTTTGTAAAACGAGTCCTAAAATTAATTTAAAACTAAAACATCCCCAAACGTTTGTTTTATTTGACAATTATTCGTTATTTTTAACAAAAAAGTAATTGACCTGAAAAGTTTTACACCAGGGTATTTGATTTTCAGATCGCTTCACGTATCAGAAACCGTTATTAGTTTTGAGACAATGCATTGTAAAATATTATGTGTTTGCTTGGTTAGAGCTGGATTACTATCGGGAGGGTAATAGAATCTCAAATGTATAATGTCTATTAATAGTTCTCTGTGTACTCAACTTATTGTTTTCTTTTCCAATCAATTGGAGATGGAAACTCAAAATGCTTCCAATTATACTTAAAATTCTGCAATTAGGAAATCGATCAGAAACAATACAATATTTTTTAAACCTTTATCAATTATTGTTTGACTTCTCAAATTGATTTCCGGAGTCTGGGCAGGCAATATGTTTAAGGAATTAATGAAAATAGTTTATTCGAGACTAACTTGACGGAAATATGAAATTTCAAAATCGAGATGACAGTAAAATACACCCACTGGTACCAGTCAAATGTGATCAACGTTCATATCTTAAGGTAGGATAACACTCCATTAAATATGATCCAACTCGATAATTCAATTAGGGAGCTACCATTTGATTTTTAGGAGGGAGGGGGGGGGGGGGGGGGGGGGGCTAGGATGAAATTTGAAAAAAGGCAGGACAGGAGTTTTGAGTAAAAAATAAAGATAGGATGAGCAATTTGGAAAAAAAAAAGCAGGATGTCAATTTATGTACAAAAAGTCAGGATAAACTAATAAAAAAGGCAGGACCGAATAGAGTGAAAAATAAAAAGGCAGGACAGAGATTACAACTAAACTAGAGGCTCTAAAGAGCCTGTGTCGCTCACCTTGGTCTATGTGCATATTAAACAAAGGACACAGATGGATTCATGACAAAATTGTGTTTTGGTGATGGTGATGTGTTTGTAGATCTTACTTTACTGAACATTCTTGCTGCTTACAATTATCTCTATCTATAATGAACTTGGCCCAGTAGTTACAGTGGAAAATATTTTGTAAAAATTTACAAAAATTTACAAAATTTATGAAAATTGTAAAAAATTGACTATAAAGGGCAAACACTCCTTCAGGGGTCAATTGATAATTTTGGTCATGTTGACTTATTTGTAGATCTTACTTTGCTGTACATTATTGCTGTTTACAGTTTATCTCTATCTATAATAATATTCAAGATAATAACCAAAAGCTGCAAAATTTTCTTAAAATTACCAATTCAGGGGCAGCAACCCAACAACATGTTGCCTGATTGGTCTGAAAATTTCAGGGCAGATAGATCTTGACCTAATGAACAATTTTATCCTGTCAGATTTGCTCTTAAGGCTTTGGTTTCAGAGATATGAGCCAAAAACTGCCTTTTTCCCTATGTACTATTTTTTAGCCATGTCGGCCATCTTGTTTCGTGGGCGGGGTCATCGGACACATTTTTTAAACTAGATACCCTAATGATGATTGTGGACAAGTTTGGTTAAATTTGTCTTGGTAGTTTCAGAGGAGAAGATTTTTGTAAAAGATTACAAAAATTTACGAAAATGGTTACAAATTGACTATAAAAGGCAATAACTCCTTAAGGGGTCAACTGACCATTTTGGTCAAGTTGACTTATTTGTAGATCTTACTTTGCTGAACATTATTGCTGTTTATAGTTTATCTCTATCTATAATAATATCAATATAATAACCAAAAACGGCAAAATTTCCTTAAAATTACCAATTCAGGGGCAGCAACCCAACAACGGGTTGTCAGATTCATCTGAAAATTTCAGGGTAGATAGATCTTGACCTGATAAACAATATTAGACCATGTCAGATTTGCTCTAAATGCTTTGGTTTCAGAGATAAAAGCCAAAATCTACATTTTACCCCTATGTTCTATTTTTAGCCATGGCGGCCATCTTGGTTGGTTTGCCGGGTCACCGGACACATTTTTTAACTAGATACCCCAATGATGATTGTGGCCAAGTTTGGTTTAATTTGGCCAAGTAGTTTCAGAGGAGAAGATTTTTGTAAAAGTTAACGACGACGGACGACGACGGACGACGGACGCCAAGTGATGAGAAAAGCTCACTTGGCCCTTTGGGCCAGGTGAGCTAACAAATGCAGGACAAGTTTTTCCATCCTAGCCCCCATAAAAATCAAATGGTAGCTCCCTTAGGTAATAACATTGATTATTCAAGTAGGTAATATCTTTGAAGATAATTCAGGTAGGTAATAATATTGAAGATAATTCAAGTAGGTGATAATATTGAAGATAATTCAAGTAGGTAATATATCATTGAAGATAATTCAGGTAGGTAATAATATTGAAGATAATTCAAGTAGGTAATATATCATTGAAGATAATTCAAGTAGGTAATATCATTGAAGATAATTCAGGCAGGGAATAACATTGAAGATAATTCAAGTAGGTAATAACATTGAAGATAATTCAAGTAGGTAATAACATTAAAGATAATTCAAGTAGGTAATATCATTGAGGATAATTCAAGTAGGTGATATCATTGAAGATAATTCAATTAGGTGATATCATTGAAGATAATTCAAGTAGGTAATATCACTGAAGATAATTCAAGTAGGTGATATCATTGAAGATAATTCAATTAGGTGATATCATTGAAGATAATTCAAGTAGGTAATAACATTGAAGATAATTTAGATAGGTAATAACATTGAAGATAATTCAAGTAAGTAATATCATTGAAGATAATTCAAGTAGGTAAAAACATTGAAGATAATGCAAGTGGGTAATATCATTGAAGATAATTCAAGTAGGTAATATCACTGAAGATAATTCAAGTAGGTAATATCATTGAAGATAATTCAAGTAGGTAATAATATTGAAGATAATTCAAGTAGGTAATATCATTGAAGATAATTCAAGTAGGTAAAAACATTGAAGATAATTCAAGTAGGTAATATCATTGAAGATAATTCAAGTAGGTAATATCACTGAAGATAATTCAAGTAGGTAATATCATTGAAGATAATTCAAGTAGGTAATAATATTGAAGATAATTCAGGTAGGTAATAACATTGAAGATAATTCAAGTAGGTAATAACATTGAAGATAATTCAAGTAGGTGATATCATTGAAGATAATTCAATTAGGTGATATCATTGAAGATAATTCAAGTAGGTAATATCATTGAAGATAATTCAAGTAGGTAATATATCATTGAAGATAATTCAAGTAGGTAAAAACATTGAAGATAATGCAAGTGGGTAATATCATTGAAGATAATTCAAGTAGGTAATATCATTGAAGATAATTCAAGTAGGTAATATCACTGAAGATAATTCAAGTAGGTAAAAACATTGAAGATAATGCAAGTGGGTAATATCATTGAAGATAATTCAAGTAGGTAATATCACTGAAGATAATTCAAGTAGGGTAATATCATTGAAGATAATTCAAGTAGGTAATAACGTTGAAGATAATTCAAGTAGGTAATATCATTGAAGATAATTCAAGTAAGTAATATCATTGAAGATTATTCAAGTAGGTAATATCATTGAAGATAGTTCAAGTGGGTAATATCATTGAAGATAATTCAAGTAGGTAATATATCATTGAAGATAATTCAAGTAGGTAATATCATTGAAGATAATTCAAGTAGGTAATAACATTGAAGATATTTCTATTAGGTAATATCATTGAAGATAATTCAAGTAGGTAATAACATTGAAGATAATTCAATTAGGTAAAATCATTGAGGATAATTCAAGTAGGTAATACCATTGAAGTTAATTCAGGTTGATGTGTTTAGGTAGGAATAAGCTCAAGATGATTCATATTAACATACCCAGGTAGGATTATAATCAAAGACGATTCACGCTCACATCTGCAGTTCTATAAAACATGATTTAATACCAATACCAGATGATACAGTATGACATTTATAGTGCCATTGAACATGATTCGGGTAGATACCATAATAAATGATCAGAGTTCAGATCTACAGCTTGGTTTACAATTGCAGGAAAGGATACAATTTAAGATGATCCACGTTGACATCTTTTGGTAAGAACACTCTATTATGTATGATTCGGGTTGACAGGTAGGAGTTACATTAATCATGTCTTCTGACAGTAGAAATTATCCTGTAGCCTGACCTCATTAAGGTAAAGATTGGTTGTATCAAACATAAGTGAAATAATAACATGCATTAGGAACGGTAATTTCCTCTGGTAAACATTGATACAACTTTGCATTAAAATCGTTCCGATGGTAAACATAACAGATCATTAGTGAAGAATTGCTCATTCAAAATCAAGAAGTAACAATTTCTACCATATGTCATATTTTAAAATTATAAGTTTTAATGAAATTGTTTGCTACAACAAAAAACTCCCAAACTAATGGTTGAATGAACTTCTAAATATACAGATTGATTACTAGCTCTCTTTAAAATTATATGTCTTTATTATAAAGCTCAAACTAAACATTTGAAAGGCAAGCATGTTTTAAATACATGATGAGCTTTTGACCATAAGGAATACAAAAAATGATAGCTCAATCAACCAAGGGTCGGCTTCGCCTGAAGGGACTGGAATATTATATCTTAGTAATTTCTAATAATCAACAGAGAATGTAAAACACGTATGTTTAGTACCTACCCACACCTGACTTCATAGGGTCGGGTTTGGGGAAACAAACAATTATTTATTTTTGGCCTTATAAACCATATGATCACCGAAGCACTGAAAACTTAGCTGATCATATCCTCCGGGACAATCATCATTATTATACAATTGTTATAAAGGATATATTCTTTTTCTAGGCAGCTTCAAAAGGCAAACAACAGGAATTCCAGAGATTGTACGTAGAAAATCCAGAGAGACTTCACATACAAGACACTAATGGTAACACAGCACTCCATCATGCCTCCACCAATGGACACCTAAATATCGTAGATTTTATCATTCAACATGATGGAGGTAATGATCATTTATATACTCATAAACACGCATAGTATATTTATTATCTAAGGTGCTTTTAGTTTTTTCGCCATTTGTATGTGGTATTTAATTTGATCTTTTTCAATTGACTTTATCATCAGGATTGTTTAATGGTGTGTTTTTGAAATTAAATTTCTTCCAAATGATTATTAGCTATATCATAGGTTAGTTACGTACAAAAAACATCCGAAATGTTGTAGATACAAAAATAAGATGTTATATGATTTCCCATGATACAACTCTCCACCAGAGACCAAATGATATAGAGGTTAGCAGCTATATGTCACCGTCCGACCTTCTACAATGAACATAACCTATACCAAACAGCAAGCTTTAAAAGGCCCCAAAATAATAAATGTAAAACAATTCAATAGAGGTAACTAACGGTCTGATCTATGTACAAAACAATAAACGAAAAACAATAGGATATACTGCAACAGACGACAACTACTGAATTACAGGCTCCTGACTTGGGACTGACAGCCTGTTCCTCGTTAGATCCTTGTTTGTGGTTGCTACTGTCTTCTTTCCCAAATAACGGTTATGTTCATAATCACCAAACCTTCTATAGTATCTGTTTAACTTTTCTACAACTTTTACAAAGTCCGGAGTAATTTAAAGATTTTTGTAAGTGTGAGTGCATAGTGCATACTATAAGTTGACCTAAAACATTATTTTCGGGTACTATGTGTTGGAAAGGATTGCTTTTTATGTGTAAAATATATAGTCTTAATTCATGCGGACCTCCTGAACTTAACAACGTGTATTGGTAATTAAAACTGTTTGTTCTATTAAGTCAGAAGAAACAGTTAAGAATTTTAAGTTACCTTATTGTAGATATTAACGCTAAAAACAGCACTGGTGACACCCCCCTACATGAAGCTGTGAGGAATGAACAAACCATCATAATAGACTTTCTTCTGAAAAATGAAGCTGATTCAACCATTCTCAATGATCTTCAGATGGCACCTATACATCTAGCTGTAGATTGTGATTCCCTCAAATCATTAGAGGTACAATGTATATATTATCGTATAAGAACAAACTGCACTTTCTATTGGTCCAGAGGTGGGTAAATAATAAAATACCTGTTATTGATACCGAGAGAGGTATATGTTATCGTATAAGAACAAACTGCACTTCTATTGGTCCGGAGGTGGATAAATAATAAAATACGTGTCATTGATACCGAGAGAGGTATATATTATCATATAAGATCAACTGCAATTTCTATTGGTCCGGAGCTGGATAAATAATCTAAATTAAATACTTGTTATTGATACGGAGAGTATATAGAATAGATTGCCAATTACAACTTATAGTTAAAAATTTAATTTCGGATACCTTACTTATTTCTAACAAAAGCCTTTAAACTAATTCCCAACCTATATCTTTAAAAATCAAAATTCAGGCTTTATTAATTTCCAAATTAGTTAATGTTCTTTCTTTCTTGATTTGAGATTGGTATTACATCACAAGTACAGTTTCTTTTATAAAATGTTGTAGTGAAGATCAAAATCTGTAGTAAATTAATAAGATCCTTGTACGCTTGGTGAATAACAATAATTAACTAATGTACGCCAGCTTAATAATTAACGTTATTTTAATAACAAACAAACAAAAATGAGTAAATTATATGTAAATTTTTTAACATAAAGATTAGAAAATCTATGTTGTCATTAAAACATCAAAAGAAGAAAAAAACGCTTCCGTGGGTGAAATAATATAACAGTTAAGGACCACCAAGTTGAACAGGGAAAGATTTATCTGTATCGGCTGACATATTATATTATTCTGTCTTTTTTTATCTCCACAGTTCTATTTGTTTCATATCACATTGTCGATATTGTTATAAACAATAATATCTTTATCATTTGAAATAACTTTTGTTTAATGGACCCTGTGTAATAATTGTTAGACCTTACAGTGATTTCCGGACAGCAGGTTTACCTTGTCAGTGGTTGTCTTTTGTTAGACTTATAGTGATTTACCGACCACGGCCTTACGTTGTCAGTGGGTGCCTATGTGTAGACCTTATAGTGATTTACCAACAAAGGCCTTACGTTGTCAGTGGGTGCCTATGTGTAGCCCTTATAGTGATTTACCGACTACAACCTTACGTTGTCAGTTGGTGCCTTAGCTTTGTGTGGACCTTATAGTGATTTACCGACCACGGCCTTACGTTGTCAGTGGGTGCCTATGTATGTGTAGACCTTATAGTGATTTACCAACAAAGGCCTTACGTTGTCAGTGGGTGCCTATGTGTAGCCCTTATAGTGATTTACCGACTACAACCTTACGTTGTCAGTTGGTGCCTTAGCTTTGTGTGGACCTTATAGTGATTTACCGACCACGGCCTTACGTTGTCAGTGGGTGCCTATGTATGTGTAGACCTTATAGTGATTTACCGACCACGGCCTTACGTTGTCAGTGGGTGCCTATGTGTAGACCTTTTAGTGATTTACCAACAACGGCTTTACGTTGTCAGTGGGTGCCTTAGCTTTGTGTAGACCTTATAGTGATTTACCGACTACGACCTTACGTTGTCAGTTAGTGCCTATGTGTAGACCTTATAGTGATTTACCGACTACGACCTTACATTGTCAGTGGGTGCCTTAGCTTTGTGTAGACCTTATAGTGATTTACCGACTACGGCCTTACGTTGTCAGTTAGTGCCTATGTGTATACCTTATAGTGATTTACCGACTACGACCTTATATTACGTTGTCAGTGGGTGCCTTTGTGTAGACCTTATAGTGATTTACCAACCACGGCCTTACGTTGTCAGTGGGTGCCTTTGTGTAGACCTTATAGTGATTTACCGACCACGGCCTTACGTTGTCAGTGGGTGCCTTTGTGTAGACCTTATAGTGATTTACCAAAAACGACCTTACGTTGTCAGTGGGTGTCTTTGTGTAGACCTTAAAGTGATTTAACAACCACGGCCTTGCGTTGTCAGTAGGTGCCTATGTGTAGACCTTAAAGTGATTAACCAACCACGGCCTTACGTTGTCAGTGGGTGCCCTTTGTTAAACCTTGTAGTGATTTACCGACTGCAATATTACCATGTCAATGGGTGCCTTTTGTTAAACCTTATAGTGATTTACCGACCGTACAATTACCATGTCAATGAGTGCCTTTTGTTTAACCTTATAGTTATTTACCGACTGCAATATTAGCATGTCAATGGCTGCCCTTTGTTAGACCGTATAGTGATTTACCGGCCTCATGATTACCATGTCAAAGGGTGCCCTTTGTTAGACCTTATAGTGATTTACCGACCACAATATTACCATGTCAATGGCTGCCCTTTGTTAAATCTTATAGTGATTTACCGACCGTACAATTACCATGTCAATGAGTGCCTTTTGTTTAACCCTATAGTGATTTACCGACTGCAATATTACCATGTCAATGGCTGCCCTTTGTTAGACCGTATAGGGATTTACCGGCCACATGATTACCATGTCAAAGGGTTCCCTTTATTAGACCTTATAGTGATTTACCGACCACAATATTACCATGTCATTAGGTGCCCTTTGTTAGACCTTATAGTGATTTACTGACCACAATATTACCATGTCAATGGCTGCCCTTTATTAAACCTTATAGTGATTTACCGACTGCAATATTACCATGTCAGTGGTGCCCTTTATTAAACCTTATTGGGATTTACCGGCCACATGATTACCATGTCAGTGAATGCCCTTTGTTCAACCTTATAGTGATTTACTTTACGGATCATGAGTGAGTGAGTGAGTGAGTGAGTGAGTGTACCGTGTCGGTGCTTACCTTTTGTTATACCTTATATTGATAATGGACCGCACAATTGCCTTGTCAGTGCTTGCATCTTGTTTGACCTTATAGTAATTACTGACCACAGTCTCACCTTATCAGTGGTAACCTTTTAAGACCTTTGAAGTAATTTACGGACAGCAAACCTATTTTGCTATTTTGTCAGGGTTGCTTTTTGTTAGACTTTATAGTGATTTACGGACTGCAGACTCATTTTGTCAGTGATAACCTTTCTAGTCCTTACAGTGATTTACGGACCGCAAGCTTATTTTGTCAGTATTTACCTTATGTGAGACATTAAGTGGCTTAAAGACCATAAATCCGTTGGACTACACCTGTAGTTGTTTATAGACAGCTAGCTGCCTTATCAGTGGTTGCTCTCTATCAGACCTTATAGTGGTTTATGGACAGCAAGTTAACCTTGTCAGTGGTTGCTATTTGTCAGACCTTATAGTGGTTTACGGGCAGCAAGTTAACCTTGTCAGTGGTTGCTATTTGTCAGACCTTATAGTGGTTTATGGACCACACGCTATCCGCCTTTTGTTAGACCTAATAGTGATTTATGGACCACACGCTATCGGCCTTTTGTTAGACCTAATAGTGATTTATGAACCACACGTTATCCGCCTTTTGTTAGACTTAATAGTGATTTATGGACCACACGCTAACCGCCTTTTGTTAGACCTAATAGTGATTTATGGACCACACGCTATCGGCCTTTTGTTAGACCTAATAGTGATTTATGAACCACACTTTATCCGCCTTTTGTTAGACTTAATAGGGATTTATGGACCACACGTTATCCGCCTTTTGTTAGACTTAATAGTGATTTATGGACCACACGCTAACCGCCTTTTGTTAGACCTAATAGTGATTTATGGACCACACGCTATCGGCCTTTTGTTAGACCTAATAGGGTTTTATGGACTACACGTTATCCGCCTTTTGTTAGACTTAATAGTGATTTATGGACCACACGCTAACCGCCTTTTGTTAGACTTTTCAGTTACGACCTTCTTACTATTGGTTGCTTTTTGTTCTACCTTTTTAAAATGGATTTTGTCCTTAGAGAAATGTGGTGTTAATAACAGATCTTTGATAGTCTCTGTTACGGTCATTCACAGTTTGTACGACATGGTGCCATTCTCTGTTACGGTCATTCACAGTTTGTACGACATGGTGCCATTCTCTGTTACGGTCATTCACATTTTGTACGACATGGTGCCATTCTCTGTTACGGTCATTCACAGTTTGTACGACATGGTGCCATTCTCTGTTACGGTCATTCACAGTTTGTACGACATGGTGCCATTCTCTGTTACGGTTATTCACAGTTTGTACGACATGGTGCCATTCTCTGTTACGGTTATTCACAGTTTGTACGACATGGTGCCATTCTCTGTTACGGTTATTCACAGTTTGTACGACATGGTGCGACATTGTGCCATTCTCTGTCACGGTTATTCACATTTTGTACGACATGGTGCCATTCTCTGTTACGGTTATTCACAGTTTGTACGACATGGTGCCATTCTCTGTTACGGTTATTCACAGTTTGTACGACTTGCCATTTGAAGCTTGACATACTGTACCTATCTTTTGATGGAGGAACTTGTATCCTGGAGCATTATTAATATATAATACGAAACATTTTTGTAATACCGAATTACACCTTAGAAATGCTATCTTTACGTTGTCAGTTCTTGTTATTTTAGGCTTTATTGAAACATAAAAGTATCAATATAAAACAAGCTGGAGAATCAGGATTTACACCTCTCCATTACTGTGCTGATAAAGACAAAGCGGACTGTGCTAAACTGTTGGTAAGTTAATAGAAAGAGAAAATAAACATTGTAGATTTACACCCCTCCATTACTGTGTTGATAAAGACAGAGCAGACTGTGCTAAACTGTTGGTAAGTTAGTAGAAATAGAAAATAGACATTGTAGATTTACACCTCTCCATTACTGTGTTGTTAAAGACAGAGCAGACTGTGCTAAACTGTTGGTAAGTTAATAAAAATAGAAAATAAACATTGTAGATTTACACCTCTCCATTACTGTGTTGATAAAGACAGAGCAGACCGTGCTAAACTGTTGGTAAGTTGATAGAAAGAGAAAATAGACATTGTAGATTTACACCTTTCCATTACTGTGTTGATAAAGACAGAGCAGACCGTGCTAAACTGTTGGTAAGTTGATAGAAAGAGAAAATAGACATTGTAGATTTACACCATTCCAGTTACTGTGCTGATAAAGACAAAGCGGACTGTGCTAAACTGTTGGTAAGTTAATATAAAGAGAAAATAGACATTGTAGATTTACACCTATAAACAAGCCTCTCCATTGTAAAAAGTCACATTTTGTCCTTAATGTTGATCATAGCATGCCTTCTCTTAGCGTATTCTGTCTTATTGTTAATTTCCCAGCTAGTATATGTTAACTTTAATGCTCTTTTCGGCACGTTTGTAATCAACTGATGAGAAGGCGGTCATATATTAGGTCTGAGAGACTATACTTCATGTTTCCACTCTTTTGAACGTTAATTCTGCCATATGATTAATTCATGCCCTTATAAATGTTTTTTTTTCTATCTTTTTTAGCTTAAACATGGAGCCAAACCATGTATAAAGTGTAACCATGGATACTATCCTATTCATATTGCTGCACGAGCGGCTGCTGCTACGACATTAGATGTTATCATAAAATATGGTATGTAGATTGTTTCATGTATTAATTCATTTACTATATTATCCTGAGCCAGTATGACCGTGATATTATTAAGAATTGAATTCCCCTCTTTGTCATTTTATTGGGGTGTAAAAGTGTTGACCGAAGCACATTTTGTATGGAGCGCGGAAGCGCTGCATTCTGAAAATGTGAGCACGATCAACTCTTTTACAACCATATAGAATTACAAAAAGAAGCATTCAAATCTTATAATTATCATTTAATGCTACAGCCATAAAATAAAGAGTAATATCGAGTCTTTTTCTTGTTTTGCTATGCATTGTTTTAGCATTATCACAGATAGCACGTGCAGTCAAAGCTGTTGCATATGATCTTGGGATGCCTCGCAATTGTGGCAATTCAATCAAAAGTACGGATTTAAACGAAACCTCCATGAATATAATTGTTAGAAATGTAAAACAAAAATTGCAATACACATGCAAGCACAAACAATTGTCACCAGGATGATGTTGTTTTATATTTAAACCCATCTTTATAAATTGACTTAGCCTCACCCTCTTTCTCTCTCCTTTTTAAAAGTATTGTGCTTGTCAACAATGAACCTCTAATTCCTTACATTAGAACTTTATGTATCATTATGGTGTATTTTAAAGTAATAATTTCAACTCCTGAAACGATAAAAATTAATATAAATTAAAAACAGCACGTCGTGTGTTTGAGTGAAGCATATACATTGTACTTCTGTCTAATTACAGTTGAAGCACTTGGTTACACAAGAGCTGAAGTTCTGTCTTTTGAAGACAAGGAAAATAATACAGCCTTACATTCATCTGTCAATAGCGGTTATCCGGAGGTAAATATGATTTGGTTAGGTATATGTCAATAGCGGTTACCCGGAGGTAAATATGATTTGGTTAGGTATCTGTCAATATCGGTTATCCGGAGGTTAATATGATTTGGTTAGGTATCTGTCAATTAACCTGCTATCCGGGGGTTAATATGATTTGGTTACGTATTTGTCAATACCTGTTATCCGGAGGTAAATATGATTTAGTTAGGTATCTGTCAGTAGCGGTTACCCGAAGGTAAATATTGTTTACTTAGGTAGCTGTAAATAGTGGCCATACGTTGTCTAGAGGTTCGGAAAAGAAACAAAAATCTATTGTTCAGTTCTGGGGCTTTGAGGTACATGATCACATATAAGCAGGTCCCGAGGAAATATCCGCCCAGTTCTGGGGTTCTGGGATACATGATCACATATAATCAGGTCCCGAGGAACTATCCACCCAGTTTTAGGGCTCTGAGGGACATGGTCACATATAACCAGGTGGTCCTAAGGAACTATCCACCCAGTTCTGGGGCTCTGATGGACATGGACACATATAAGCAGGCCCTGAGTAACTATCCGCCCAGTTCTGTGGCTCTGAGGGATATGATGACATATAATTAGGTCTATTGTTCAGTTCTAGGGCTCTGAGGGACATGATCACATATAATCAGGTCTATTGTTCAGTTCTAGGGCTCTGAGGGATATGATGACATATAATCAGGTCAATTGTTCAGTTCTAGGGCTCTGAGGGACATGATGACATATAATCAGGTCTAATGTTCAGTTCTAGGGCTCTGAGGGATATGATGACATATAATCAGGTCTATTGTTCAGTTCTGGGGCTCTGAGGGATATGATGACATATAATCAGGTCTATTGTTCAGTTCTAGGGCTCTGAGGGATATGATGACATATAATCAGGTCTATTGTTCAGTTCTAGGGCTCTAAGGGATATGATGGCATATAATCAGGTCTATTGTTCAGTTCTAGGGCTCTGAGGGATATGATGACATATAATCAGGTCTATTGTTCAGTTCTAGGGCTCTGAGGGACATGATGACATATAATCAGGTCTATTGTTCAGTTCTAGGGCTCTGAGGGACATGATGACATATAATCAGGTCTATTGTTCAGTTCTAGGGCTCTGATGGACATGATGACATATAATCAGGTCTATTGTTCAGTTCTAGGGCTCTGAGGGATATGATGACATATAATCAGGTCTATTGTTCAGTTCTAGGGCTCTGAGGGACATGATGACATATAATCAGGTCTATTGTTCAGTTCTAGGGCTCTGAGGGACATGATAACATATAATCAGGTCCTGAGGAACTACCCGCCCAGTTCTAGGGCTCTGAGGGACATGATTACATATATTCAGGTATATTGTTCAGTTCTAGGGCTTTGAGGGACATCATCACATATAATCAGGTCTATTGTTCAGTTCTAGGGCTCTGAGGGACATGATGACATATAATCAGGTCTATTGTTCAGTTCTAGGGCTCTGAGGGACATGATGACATATAATCAGGTCTATTGTTCAGTTTTAGGGATCTGAGGGACATGATCACATATAATCAGGTCTATTGTTCAGTTCTAGGGCTCTGAGGGACATGATGACATATAATCAGGTCTATTGTTCAGTTCTAGGGCTCTGAGGGACATGATCACATATAATCAGGTCTATTGTTCAGTTCTAGGGCTCTGAGGGACATGATGACATATAATCAGGTCTATTGTTCAGTTCTAGGGCTCTGAGGGACATGATGACATATAATCAGGTCTATTGTTTAGTTCTAGGGCTCTGAGGGACAGTCTATTTTTCAGTTCTAGGGCTCTGAGGGACATGATCACATATAATCAGGTCCTGAGGAACTACCCGCCCAGTTCTGTGGCTCTGAGGGACATGATGACATAAAATCAGGTCTATTGTTCAGTTCTAGGGCTCTGAGGGACATGATCACATATAATCAGGTCCTGAGGAACTACCCGCCCAGTTCTGTGGCTCTGAGGGACATGATCACATATAATCAGGTCTATTGTTCAGTTCTAGGGCTCTGAGGGACATGATCACATATAATCAGGTCCACGGGAACTACCCGCCCAGTAGTCAATTCTTCTGTAATGATATGATTTAAATCACACATTTTTATAATTGTGAATTTTCTTTGATAAATTAACGTGATTGAATTGAAGATAAGGATGCCGATCTCTCAGATAAAGGTGTCATTAGTTCTTGGTTTCTCCGTTTTGTTAGCTAATGTTACAACCCTCAGATAAGTTGACCTTAGTTCTTGGCTGTTCCCTTGGGTTAGCTAAGGTAAGAACTGTCTCCGACAAAGCTTTGCTTATGTCTTGACTGTTTCGTTTAATTAGCTAAGGTTAAAACTCTCTCAGACAAGTCGGACACAAGGTCTTCGCTGTTCTTGGTTGGTCAGTTTTAAATTTCCTGTGTTGCGTTTTCTTTTTTCGTCGCTTAACAGTTTGGCATGGTCAGTGTTTTTCGACCTTTTGGTTTTTGATTGCATCCTCAATTTTTCTGCCCATTGTTTTACAATAAAATTTGGTTTATTAATCATGTATTTGTATTAAAACTTATGGTTACAACTCCGACAGGCAAAGCTGGCACTAGACGTATATAACTATTCTGTTCAAGTTCTGTTGGTGTTTATATGCTATCAAACATTTCATATAGGTGGCCTTCCAAAGGTTTGAACCCGAGCGTATTGGAAGAAGGTTTTTTCAACAACGTATGTCGTGCGCATACAATTGGAATGGTATATGTTTATAGTGTATAAATTCATATTCTCGTACAATTAAACCATGTATATATAGAATGAACTGATGAATTACACCGGCGGGCTGAGACGCTGTTTTGAATATTTCATAAAAAAATCATTAAAGAACTACATCATGTCAATAGCATATTTCTGTGAAGATATTATTTTATTTGTAGGCTGTGAGAGTATGTTTGAATGCAGGCGCACCAGTAGATGCACAGCAAGTATGTATAAATTAGTCTTAATACTTTTGCAGTCTGTCAAATAACGATATCTTTGTAAGTGAATATGAAAAACACTTGAGAAAAAAGAAAGACTTATAATGCGTATGAAAATCAGCTTATAAGAATGACACGCAGTATACTACATCACTTGTTTATTTTAATGTTTTATTTAAGGAAGACAAGTCAACGCCGTTACACTTTGCCTGCGCTCAAGGAGGTTTGGAAATGATCAAGATTATGTATGAAATACAGGAAAGTAAATTTTTATCAGCAATGAATACAACAGACATCCTGAAAATGACACCTCTCCATCGGGCTGCTTTGTTTAATCACGTGGGTGTTGTTGAATACCTATTGGACAAGGTACAAACTATTCTTAATCCTTATTACTTTTAACATTTGATTGCATGTGAGTTAAATGACTTTCTTAGTAAATTTGAATGCAACAATGCGGATTTTTTTCTGTTCTGCTGATCAACTGGCTATTTTTGTTATAAACTGTACTTACAATTGAGTCTTGCACAAATCTTTTTTTTTACCTATTTGTAATCATACTTATAGGAATTTATAGACATTTTAGTTCTTATTTGCTAAGTTGATCTTGTATGTCTCTTCATAGTTGAACAGTGTTATCCTGGCCAAGATCTTAAATCCATGAACCCTTGGTGCATGGTGTTTCATGGAAGGTCGTCAAGGACAACGAGTTTGTTAATCTAGAAACAAGATTGTTTCGGTACCTTGCATTTCTAATTATCGTCGTTGTTTTAGGGAGCTGATATCAATGCTCTAGATGTTAATGACAGGACTCCATTGTTTGTTGCTGCCTCAAAAAGTGCCTGGAGTACTGTGAACTTGTTGATTAAGAGAGGAGCTAACATAGCACTAAAGGACGAAAAGAGTAGAAACTTCTTACACGTCATTATAAAAGGAGGAGGAAGTCTCAATATGTTTGAAGACGATGTTTTCAAAGTAAGCCAAAAACTGAAATATTAATTGTTTCCCATTTATTCTGAGTAAATATCTAGATATTACGAAGAATCATTTGTATTGAAAAACCTTTGCAAAACTTAAACTGTGGTAATGATTCGCTTAGATTCACTGAAAATCCGACTTTTATTTGTAAAATGTAGGTAAAGACCAAGTTTTTGATATTTTTAAACTTGTAAATTGTCAAAACGCATACATTTCTTCTCAAATATAAAAACAACTTAACATTCCAAGCAGTACATAAATATTTGTCAGAAAGGTAAAAAATACTTAATACCCCACAATTAAGAAGGCCTGCCAAATTTCTACCTTCTACTCATTCAAACCATTTAAAGTAAAATCACAAGATGGCATCAACATTGTTTTATTTTGGCATTGATATTGAATATAAATATTATAGATCAATTTAACAATTTTTTAATGCATTCACATCTTTGAAGGAAACTGAAATTTCGTTTATCTATAAAATGAATGTATCATCGTTACACGACAGAAGGAAATATATACACCATAAAAGCAAACTTGTTATCTTATTGGTTGTGAATTGGAGTTTACATGCATAGGAATACCTATTCTCTAGTCTTGAGCTATGAAATACTTTTATTATAAAAAAAGAGATGTGGTATGATTGCCAATGAGACAACTATCCACCAAAGTTCAAATAAAGTGGATGTAAGCAAATATAGGCAACCGTACGGCCTTCAACAATGACAAAAACCCGTATAGTCGGCTATAAAAGGCCCCGAGAAAACTAACGGCCTAATTTATAACAAAACAATTTACAAAAAACAAATATTATTCTTTCTTACAACAAGCAAACTTATATTTGACTTATTTCAGAACGTGAAGAATCTCCTGAACGAGACTGATAACATTGGTTGTACACCCCTTCATTATGCCACACGTGAGGGACAACTGAATGCTATTGACACCTTGATGAGTATGGGAGCACTATTAAACCTCAAAAATAAACAGAAGCAATCACCTCTCCACTTTGCAGCAAGGTAAATCATATCTAATACTTCTTTTTATACTTCATATCAGGCATAAACATTGAACACAATACATTTTTATTACCTTGTGCAAGTTGTTGGAAATTTACAAATATCTGAAAATTGTTTCAAATGTTTAACACTGAGTCATCAAAATGCTCTTTATTTACAGTGATGTTATTTCATACTTTTTGTAATCTTTTTTTCTTGCCCGGCTATGCCTACACTTTTTGTTCTTTTTCGGTTTTAACAGCTCTTCAATTATTAGATAAGTTAATATTTTTTTATTTTTAAATATTTTTGCCTCGAGCATCACTGTTGACACAATGCGCATCTGGTGCATACAAATTGGTACTTGCATCTCTAGAGGTTTTTTATATTCTATTTATATCCTTTTGGTTTCAGATATGGACGTTATAATACATGTAAACGTCTTCTGAACAGTAAAGAAGGTCCAGGGATTATCAATGAGGTGGATGAAGATGGACTTACAGCACTGCATCATGCCGCTAAAAATGGACATGTTAAAATAATTACACTACTGATGCAGAGAGGAGCATATGTTACTAAGTATGTTTAGACGGATTAACTAAAATGAGTGGAACAAAACTTGTTAATTTGCAATAATTGAATCAATAAACATAAATCGTAAAACTTCTAAATGAAATTATGCAATACATTTATTATTACAATTGATAGTCATTTTTTCTGGTTAAAGAGTAAAATATGTTCATGGTCAAAATAAAAGTCATAAGATAAGGTTTAAAATTTTCTTCTACTATAACAGTTTTACTAAGTAAATGATGAGATTTAAAAATCTATAAACAAATATTTTTGTAACCTCCAAATTTGAACTTATCAATCTGTAAGAAAAGTATAGATTAGTTTTAAAGAACATAGTCTAATGTACGACTGGGTCTGTTGTAAATAGGTACTTTGATATGATATAATGAGCTCTACAACTTATTGTCAAGGAAAAATTAAAACGTATTATAAAATAATAATTAACCCTTCCTTTGATAGGGATCATGAAGGTAACACACCTCTACACATGGCTGTCATACATGGCTACACCAGAAGTATGAGATGTATTCTGAATGTCCATGGTAACCTAATGGATTCTCAAAACAATGCTGGGGTAAGATGTATTTGTAATGATAAGGATACTTACCAATATGATAACTACAACAATTAGTCATCAGACCCATAGACTAGGATGTAAACAATTTCAGGTCACCGTACGGCCTTCGACAACAATGAACAAAACTCTTCTTGTTATGTCTGTCGGGATTACATTTGACAATAAAATATGAAAATAATGGACATCATACATGGATTGTCATTTTAACGGTAGTCAGAACAAAACTCTACAATGCTTTAGACATTACATGAATATGGGTTACGATAGTAAAAGTATCGACAACAGCGACATACCTTATTGTAACAACATCCCAGGAACACCTGCATATGGAGTATATATCTCCCAATTGTCACTATATTCCAGGGCTTGCATTTCCTATCATAATTTCTTTGAAAGTAAGTTGCTGCTAACAAGGAAGTTATTGAACCAAATGAGTTCAGAAAAGTTTACGGACGTTATCACGAGCTAGTTGATCGTCATGGAATGTCTGTTTCAGGGATGACGACGTACATGCTCCAATTGTCGTAACTACAATCCCGTCCTCTTTTTCTCGAATGTGACCTATCGAATAAGACTTATATACTTACATGAGCAACACGACGGTTGCCACTTTTGGAGTAGAATCTGCTTATCCTTCCGGAGCATCTGAGATAACCCCTGTTTTGGTGGTATTCGCGTTGCTCAGTCTTTAGTTTTCTATGTGTTGTGTACTGTTGTTTGTCTTTTCGTCGTTTTTTTCGTTTTTAGCTGTTTGTTTGTTTTCGACTTTATGAGATTGAATATCCCTTGGTATCTTTGACCTCTCTTTTATATACTTAAGTTAAGTAGCTGACATATAATACATGTGTAATGTTAAGTTTTGGTGATGTCAGTTTGTCTTTGACTCATACATTTTAATATCCCTTTATAATATTCCTTCTCTCCTTTAATTGAGAATAATTTTAGTTAATGGGCGATAATCCAATTTGAACCAATTCCTACTGTTCATATCAAATACAATAAACGTGTAATACATGTACTTACATTATGTATACGTTGCTTTGCTTGTATATTTGTCCATCAAATATGAAGCTCTCATCCAATTATTACAATGAAATTATATATCTTATTATTGGTGATCATGATTGTTAGTCCTGCTTTGTTCTTTTGCATAATACTTCTTCATATATACATATATTTAATGTGGACTAACACATACATATTTCTTGTAAAATAAAAGCGGAAGATATCAAAGAATCAACATAAATATTGTTTTAAATTGTGTCTGAATATGTGGAATATCTTTATAGAATACAGCTTTGCATGTAGCGTCTCAAGTTGGACAAGTACAGGCAGTGACACTTCTATTGAGCGCTGACGCTAAGATTGTGCTGAATGAAAATGGGGGAACATTTTTTGATCTGGCGATTGACAACAAACACACAGACGTTGCAACTGCTGTAGTAAAACATAACAGGTAAACATGTTTAATTAAATTTCAGGTGAATATATGTAACAGTATTAAATACAGCTCATACCACATTTTCTTATTTTTAGATTGTTTTTATACCATGTCTTATTTTATACATAATTTATTATTTAGGAATGAGAAAACAGGATTACATTTGACCGTCTGGCCGTATTTCCGTTCGTCCGTCCAGAGCTCACTGATATTTGGCAGCAAGCTTTATCTGAGATGAGTTTTCAGATAAATAGATAATCAACTTCCTGTTTATCGAATACTTATATATATTCTTACATATAACGGCAATCTTGTATACCGAAAATGCTGTTATATGAATGAAAACATAAATCCATATAAGACGGTAGTACATGGTAGTAATGTCGACACAAAATGCTGCAACTTTTAAATAATGCTGTTATAAAACTTAGGTAATCATTTGAAATTCAGGAATGTATCTCTCTCATGCTTAGCTCGGATTCCATGTCATAGTTTGGCTGTACTTTTGGTCCTTTTGGTTTTATCTACTCTAAAACATTTGTTTTTTGTAACGTAGAAGTTTTCTGTTTTGCCAATCGATATTTACATTTTTTTTAATAAGTGAGTAAGTAAAAGCGAGGTTACAGTAAATGATCATTAAACAGCTACCCATTATAGCAAAAAAGAGTTATCACATTTAGGACACTGTGATCTACAGAGGATATATTTGACCTGGCTATTCACAAATGATCTTGACTTTATTTTCTGCAGTACTTAATATTATAAATAGTTAACTATGTCTTATATCTACATCTTGATTAAATCTATTAACAGGTGGATTGAAGTATTGCACACATGTTCAGATGCAGGTTGTGGTATGAGCCGTTTGATAGAGCATTTGCCAGAAGTTGGCATGGTATGTTTCTGAAATATTACAACGGAAATATTAACAGTTAAAATTAATTTCTCACACACAAATATTGAAATTTTCTTAACAATACAACAATGATTACTTAACTATAAAAGCTTTTAACGTAGAATGTCCTTTCATAAATTGAAAAATTTTAATTTTCAGAAGTTACATAATGAGTAAAATAACAAATGAAAAATAACATAATAAAAACATTGTATCAAAAGAAATAGTTGAAAGTAAATACACAAAGACTTTTATTTTAGGTTGTGTTGGACAACTGTCAAAAAATATCCAAAAGAAATGAAAAACCGGAAGGTTGTAAAGTCAGAAATTCATATGTAAGTGTTTACTTATACACAAGATACTAGTACTTTGATATAAAGTCAATTGAAGTAAAAGTGTGAATAATTAAGAATCCCTTATGGAAAAATAAGGCTTCTTGCAAATATTTGCGGCAATATTGCTGCAAATATTCATTTTTCGTATGCAAATTAGTTTTCTTGCAAACAGTTGCTGCAACATTGCTGCAACAAATTGCTGCAATATTGCGGCAAATGTTTGCAGGAAAGTAGCTGTGATTGTTGCAGCAATATTGCGGCAAATTATTAGCTGCAATTGTTGCAGCAATATTGCAGGAAAATTAATTTCTTGCAATATTGCAGCAACATTGCAGCAAATCTTTCAACAGTTTCAGTTGAAAAAATTAGGAATTGAAAACTAAGCATTCAAAAAAATATGATTTAATAATAAAACAATTTTTTTCTGTCCTCTATAGGTTGTCTTGTTACATCTGTGTATCTTTTAGTTTCTTTTGCCATTGTAATCACTGTAAAGTTGAATTTACTGATTTCAAATACTGCAAAATAAAAGTTGAAGAATTTAGCATATAAAAAGAATACCTTACATTAGAAAGATAAAAATTACTACTATATATTGTAAATTCTGGACTTGTAAAATGAAAATAACACTGTATAAAAAGATCTATAGAGCAATTATTTCTCCTGTGTTTGTTACACTTGAAGGGTCAAATTGTCTAAAAGTTGTCAAGTCCTTCTAGAAATTGCATGTTTTTCAAATTTATGGATCTGCAACTGATATGTATAACTGTAGATACATTTAACCTCATGCCAGTACTAGGTTGTTATTGCTTTTTTTAATATTTGTTTTTCATTGAACTATAACATAATTGGTCTTGTCCGTTTTTTATTTTTTTATTTTGGTGTTTAGTTGTGTATATAAAAGCTATATTTTATTGTCATTTGTTGATAGATGTCTTATTGGCAGTCAAACCACAGATCTCTAATTTAATACCAAACTGCTTTTATTAGAAGATAATTTGCTGTTTAAATTTATAAGTAATACTTTCTAAAACATATTGTCTTAAAAAGATTAAAAAAAATATCTCCTCATGTCTTACACAATTTTAATAATATTCATGAGCATAAATCTATTATCTAATATTTTTCTTGACTCTATAAACTTAAGAAAACACTTTAAATATCACTATTTTCAACTATAAGAGCATGCTCTTATTCAAAATGGTGGACATTCTAATCCATTGTACTTACCAAAAGATGTTATCCAAAATATGTGTTAACACCAATCTTCCTAAATCCAAGAGTCATGTCATCAGAAGACATCATCTGCACTATCCAATGTCAATAGAATTAATTGGAACTTTTGGCTCAAAATCCATTGTAAAATTCATATTTTGTTCATGATAGAAGACATCTTTGTTTGTTGTGTGCAAGCATGTTCATGTCCAGTTCAAATTTTGAATTTTTGAGGTTGTTTAGGGTATTGTGACAGTGTGATCCCTTTGAAATTTGCCCCTTATAATAAATATTAATTGCCTAAATGTTGAATATTTGATATATATTATAATAAAAAAAATATCTATATTTATTGTTTATTTTTTTTATCTTTGATGTTATAAGTTATAATGGAAATATTTATAAAAAAAATGTTCTACCCTTAATTTGGCCTCAAACTCTGTGTACATTAATTTATAACACTTCCTGTCTTTGCCACTACACAGAGATAAATGAAAACAGATGACACATTACATTTCTATCACCAGCTCATATTACTAAATGAGATGAGAAAGAGGGCATGCAAATAATTTGAGTATACATAATTGAATAAGATACTAGAAATTAAACAAAATGCAACTTGCAAGGCTATAAAAATATGGTTCACAGAAAAATATCACAAAAAAGTGACAAAAAGGCATATATATAGAACAAAAATTGATATGTATCAATTATTTAGATTAAACTTGTTGAAATTTATAAATACCAAAGTATTCTTGAAATTCTTTCTTGTTATAAGATATCATAAATGTGATGTGCAGTTTAGGAATTGTTTATAAGCATTGTTATTTGAAGATTTTTTTTAAATAATTCAAATATCCTGATATTTCTGAGTAACATGAAGTATGACGATAAAATATTTAGATAATTAGAAGTATTCATAACCAAATATTCAAAGAAACATGTCGTGTAATGAACCTCAAATCTTAAAAAAACTAATAGTACATGTATGTAATATTTTAATATGCTTGAAATATTGGTGCAAACTATCATGTCTAAAACTTTTAAAGAAACGTTTCTTGCAAAGTTGTTGCAAATAGTTATTCCTTAAACAATAAAAGAAAAGATTCCTGCAACTTTCTAGCAAACAAACTTGCTGCAATTTTCTTTCAAACAAATTTTGTTGCAGTAACATTGCGAGAATGTTGCAGGTAGCTGCAACAACCTGCAACTTTCTTGCAAACACTTCTTGCAAACAAATGTTTTGCCGCAATATTGCAGCAATATTGTTGCAATATTGCAGCAAACTTTTCATTTCTGTAAGGGATGTTTGTAACACTTTTATTATGAAAACTTTATCAAAAATTAAACCAATCATATGAGCTACAGCTGCAAAATGGGAGCCTACAGTTAATTGGCAGTGCTCATGAACAACCATTCAACTTGAAATTAACGCTTGTTACCAGCAAAATTTAGTCAATGCAACTTATTATTTTTTTAACTATATAGTAATACTTAAACTAGGTTTTAACTCCCAAAAGCAAATTTGACCTTATCCGTGACGGTCATTGCGTCATTCCGCAACAAACAGTTATATGGAATTTATTTTCTAAACGCCTTCACAAGGGTTAAAGTTCCATTTATTTACCCTTCCCTAGATCTTCCATCAATTTCTTCATTTTCCATCAACACTTGATGGACAATTAATGGAAAGTTGATGGTACTTGATTGAATTCCATCCTAAACCAAAAAAATCCATCAAAGGATGATGGAAATTAGGAATTTTATTTCCATCTGCATTCTTTTGATGGAAAATTTGATGGCATCTTGAACCCCTTATGGAAAATTGGATGGCATTTTTACCCTCTGATGGAAAATATGATGGCATTTATTCCACCTGATGGAAAATAGGATGGAAATGAAGGAAGTTTGATGGAAATTGGACTTAAACATTTTCTTTGATGGAAAGTGAGATGGAATTTGGACTTAGAATATTTTGTTGATGGAAAGTGTGATGGTATTTAAACTCTGTCATTTTGCTTGATGGAAAAAAACTTAGAAAATTTCAGCATAAGTGTGTCTGAAAATTTAACATCCCTTACTGAGGTAAAAAGTTTTCTATTATATTGGAGCAAACAAATTTGTTTACAAGAAGTACTAGCAAGAAAGTTACATGTTGTTGCAGCTGTAACTTGTAACATAATCTCTCAATCTTACTGAAATAATATTTGTTCGTAAGAAAGTTGCAGTATTTTTCTGCAATGTTGCAAGAAAGAGTTTGTTTGCTAGAAAGTTGCAACAAACAATTTCCTAAACTGTGCAATACCTTGTATATATCTTGTAACAGGAAAGGATTTCAAGAATACTTTGGTTTTTATTTCAACCAGTGTAAACTTATTAAATGTGACATATTATTTTTTGTTAAAATTACTTTTTGTCACTATTTATATGACTATTCTGTAACCAATACTTTTATTTTTACATTTTCCATCAAATGATGCATACACCCTTTGCAGAAATAAATCCTAACAACTTTTATAATATCTCAAGATTATCCTGGGATATCCTGAAAATATCCTGTTAGGCTATAAGTCCTTTTTTTTAGGAAAAAACTTAATGGGAGAATTCCAGAAAATGTCAGGACTTTCAAATCAAGCAGCTTAAAACTGGGGGAATTCTCAGGATATCTCAAGACTTTCAAAAATCATATTATATAAACCAGAATATATCAGGACTTTTTGATCATCATTCATCCAACTTTCAGGACATTTACAAATTCTATCTGAATGGAAAAAAAAAGGCCTGAATGATTCCTGGTATTGGGACTTAAGAAAAAATATAATCTGTATTACAAATTCAACCAAATAAAAAAGAAAATCTTTGGGACTGAAATTAACTATTGTTTGTTAAATATATATATATTCACATTCACATGAAGATACAGTGTTCTAGCCAGGATTTAAAAAGGGCAGGGTGCTCTAGTCAGAAAAATGACAATTTTATTCGTAAAATGTCCTTGAAAAAAGGGCAATTAAACTAAAATAAAACTCAGGCACTAAGGTAAAATCAAGTTTCAGTTGAAGGGGAGTAATAAAATTCAATACTTTTGGCACAATTTTTTATGTTTAGCTTTAAAAATCTCGGGTCATTAATAGTGACTAATAACACGTTCACACTGCAGCTGAATTTAATTATTTAGTGGCTTATGAGTTTCATATAGGTTAACCTGTTAGTTACTCATCTTTAAGATCTTATGCAACCTTACAGTAAAGCAATTTGAATTATTATTTTAATGCACTTGATAGAGCAATGAATGGAGGTGAAGATGAAAAAAACAATTTTCAAAATATTTATATTCTAAGTGTTTTCAAGATAAAAATAATTAAAAGAAATATTCTAATATGCATTTGCATTCAATTTGTTTTATATTTATTTAATTACGAAAAAAAAACCCATAAATAAACGGAATATATTGTGAAAAGGTGATAAAAAAAGGGAAGTAACTCATTTTTTTTTTGGCAAACGTTTTTTGAAATAGACAAATTGTTTTTGACATAAAGCAAAGATAATTGGTGTTTAATTAACAATGTGTTTGACACCAAAGCTGTCAGGTGAAGCCATGTACTTAATGGGTCACTTAATTTTACAGTTTACACAGCTAGCTGAACTTCCTGTTCATGGAAGAATTACGAATTTCAGTTTGACCGTATTTCAAAGTAAGAAAAATGCCGAGATTTTCGCGATATAAACGACAAGGAACTCGAGAAACGCCAACCGCTGTTTTGCCAGACAAGCTGGGGCGTTTCTGATTTTCTCCCAAGTTCACATAAGTGCGTTTCTATTAATTATCAGATCAATGATCGACATCGTGAAACATTGGTTTCTCAACTTGTGTAAAATGTAAACAAATCATGACCACGTGTTTTTTGTAATTGTACTGAACAGTTCGACCCTAGAAAATACCGTTCTAGATAATGCGGCCAATAGTTCATCCGCATGCACCCTGTGCCGAATAAATTAACGTTGTATTTTTCTTTTATTTAAAACTGGCCAGTTGTAATATTTTTATGCGACACCCTTGATCTATTTTCATAATACCGGTACGGGAACGGATCAACTTTTGGTCGATATAATATGGGGCGAGATTGTCACTTCGACGTTAGCGCACTTGAGAAACACGTCATCAAAATGTGATTACGCTGATATGGAGATCAAACTTGAAAATCCGATGCTGGAAAATCCGATGCAGATGTTTTCAGATAAGTGCATTAGAAATTTAATTCAACATGTGTATATTATGATTATAAATTATAATTCATTGAAGAACTATGATTTTTTTTATTGTTTTTATTTGAGCAAATCAACATCAGAAAGTCTGAAATCATAAACTGAAAATTATATTTATTTTGAACATGAGTTTTTGACCATGAATAATCTTGTTGTCACATAACAGGCATAACTGGTAGACATGTAAAAAAATATTGAGTTGTGTGAATGGTTATTTGGTGAAAATAATAAGTCGCCGGTTTTTAATCTTCAGGGGATAAAAAAGGGGGAGGGTAATTAATTTGATTCCAAATGGCTTCCAATGTACTGTATAAACATGCAATAATATTTCTATTGAATTTATTGCTTCAAAACGTCTTGAACAATTGATTCTTTGTGGATTTTTTTTTTACTTTTAGGGGATTTAATGATATTAAAATGGAGCTGCCAATTTTGATAGTAAACAGATTGCATGCAGATTCCAGTTACCTTTTAATACTCAGCAATACTAGTTGGAAGTACAGAGACAGCAAATTTAATTACAGAAAGGAGACGAACTTAACATGTATCCTTTATATCGGATTTTCATTAAGCCTAAATTAATGTATTGTTTGTTTCCCCAATCCGACACCGCCAAGCCAGGTGTGGGTAGGTAGGTAGGGAAATAATTTTATTTTTTCCAAAAAGCTGGAACAATATTGGTCGATCTGGCAAGCCTGAAAAATGGAACTGAATAAGATAATATTTGACTTAGTTTTGACAATAAAATTTTATGAGTCGGACCCCTTTTTGCAGGGTCGGTAGGGATTGGGGAAACAGACAATATTTTATTTTAGGCCTAATATAATATTTGAAACTGAACAGCGAGCATCGTTAAGCCATGGTGAACAATGTGTATCTAAATACAATTATTGAATTAAGAAATGCTTTAGGGTATTAGTGAACATGAGGAGGAGGGGGTGGGGTTGGGAACCATTTTGATAATTTTGGTAATTTAACAATCTAAGTAGCCATTAAAAATGGCCAACAAGTTTGCTAGTACTAGTAGTAGTAAGTACTAGTATCTAATTTTGATTGGAATTTAAGGATCTGACATTAAAATAAATACAAGTCAATTTTTTTTAATGGGAACTTGACAGCCATTTAAATAAATTATTAAACACAGTTATCGGGAAGGACGTCCGCCTTGCGCCAATTGCCCTTTTCGACCAGAAATTGTGCATAGAGTGACAAATATAAGCGCCCACGTGGCGCACGATATTTTCCACTCCATTATGAAACATTTGATATCGTAAAATGGATTTCCGATTGTGTTTCGTGTCGCCATGTGTATGTACAAAACTGTGTAGTGTTACCGCCAATGATAGGAGCACCGCCTATATATATTTTTGGGACATCTCGGGTGTAAACATATTTTGGATTATATCTTTTGGTAAGTACAATGTATTAGAACTTCCACAATTTTGAATATATGTGCATGCTCTTTTAGTTCAAAGTAGTGACATTTAAAGTGTTTTATTAACTTTTAAGAGTCAAGAAAAAAAGAAGTTCATAGATTTATAAAAAGTATTAATAAAGAAGATGTGGTATGCTTGCCAATGAGACAACTCTCCACAAGAGACCAAATGACACAAAAAATATGCATATACATATCATAAAATTTTGTAGGACATGAGTCATATTTTGTATCATTTTAAAACATTATTTGTTTTATAAAATAGTACTTCTGAAAAAGTAATTTTGCTATAAAATTAGAGATCTGTGGTGTGACTGACAATATGACTTTTATATATCCACAAATGGTAAAATAATATATCTTTTTATATACATGTATAGTATATACACTACCCACCAAAAGTATGATATAAAACATGGGCAAGACCCATTATGTTATAGTACAATGATTATGAAAAACAAATATTAAACAAAAAAGAAAGGACAACCTCTTTATTTCTAGGGACAGTCACTTATTATAATGATGATAATTTAGTACTGACATGAGGTTTAATGTATTGTACAGTTATATATCAGCTGCTAAACCAGGGTGGTGGTGGTTGCAATTAAGTCAACATTAGGAGTAAGACTTATAAAACTTCTATTTAATAAGTTATGTAGCTCTAAAGCTCAGAAAGGGGGAGCCCACTTTCCTAAATCCACCTCTGAATATCAAATTTCTAGAAGGATTTGACACTCTTAGAAATTGACCCTGCAAGTGACACATTAATACAAATCTTTTCAAAAAGTGTTATTTTCATTTGATAATTTCAGAATTGACAACAAATGTAACTAACTAACTTTATATCAGTACAATGTTAACTTATTCTTTTATATGCTAGATTCTTTTACTTTTATTTTGCAGAATTTGCCATCAACTAATTCAACTTTAAGGACAGCGAGTTCAATGGGACACTGAACGAAAAGAAACACACATGTAACAGGACTACCTATAGACGACAGAGAACAAATATTGTTTTATTAAATCACAGAAAATGCCATAAATGGAAAGATTTTCTAAAGACATTCTCCTTACTCATCCATCAAATTCCATCTGATGGTCAATTCTCCATCAAGTTTCCATGCATTTTACATGTAATGGAAATATTCCATTGGTTTTCCGTCTGATAGCAAAGTTACCATCAGTTTTCCATCAGATGGCAAAAATACCATCAATTATCCATCAGATGGCAAAAATACCATCAGATGGAAATTATGCCATCAATTTTCCATCATCATGAACACAAATTCCATCAAACCTTTTCCATCAACCATTTTCCAGCATTGATGGAAAGTTGATGGAAAGTTGTTCCAATACTCCATCAACATGATGGAATGTGATGGCATTTTTTCCATCACAAAATTCCATCATGTTTGATGGAAAATCTAGGGAAGGGTATAATGGCACCCCAACATACTAAAAGAACACAATAATGTATTACAGTTTATTCCGTGGGGGTGCCATATGGAACTCTTTCTATATTGAGCTAATTTTTAGTATGCGTGTCTACTATGATGAGTTACATTTGGTTCCGCATCATTGATTTTGCGGAAATTACGGTCTTTGGACTTTTAAAAATTTTGTGAAAATAGCAGTTATATGGACTTTTTTCTAAACGCTTTCACATATTTAGCTGATTTTTAGTATGTGAGTCTACTATGATGAGTTACAGATTTGTGCCTATCTTACGGGCTTTGGTCTGAAAATTTCGTAAAAACAGTTAAAGGACTTTCATTCTCAAATTTCCACTCCTAAAGATGGCTTTTTATGCGAGCGAGGCCATTCGTGTCGTTCCGACACATCTAGTTTAGTCTCTAATTCACCTGACGAAGGTTCGTTGAGAGTAGGCGTCGTGTACACTGAACATGGTTATATTCTATCATATTAGAATCACCGTCCTTTCTAAAGTGAAATGCTACTTCTATATTTCCAAATATATCTTAAATAATGTCATCACTTTTACAAAATAGTCAAATGTTATAGTGATTCGTTTTAACAACTGCAATCTATATACATCAATCCTTTGACTTTTTGTCTACTGAACTCATGTATCCATGACTTCTTTCTTAAGGTTTTTAGGTAGAAATATCAAAATCTCATATAAATAAAAACACTTTACAAAGAGAGTATAAACTAGCTTTAGTTTTACTCTAATATATTTTCCTACTGAAAATTGAAATCTGGAAATTGGTGGTTATTTTTTTTTCAATATTGTTTTAGCAAATCATATTCATATATAGGTTTAATTAATCCGTTTTCTTTTTCAGCATTCATAAAAATCGATTAATGAGTATTTTAGAATATGCTGTTATTTTGTTTTCAGATTGACTATGATTTCCAATTTCTGCAGTGTCCATATACTTATACCAAAACAAAAGAAAATACAGGAGAAGAAATTCAGCCAATGTATGCATTGAATGTAGGTATTTCTTTTACTTAATGAATACCATTTGTGCTTTCCACTAATTTTCAGTACTTTTAATTGTAAGTTTATACATGTATTTTCTCATTCCTAGTATATTTTTAGAGAAAACAATGTTTAAATCCTTTAAGTTTACACTCTGTAGGATAGTTGTTTCTATGGCTATCATACAACATCTCTTCATTTTGACCTGTTTACAAGCAGAATATAATATCACCCCTGAAATATCTAGTTGTCTTGTTAATTGATTTTTGCTCTGATAAAAACTGCGGTGATATAGATATTGTTTCAGATGACAATTGCAAAAAGAAAAACTATGTACTAAAATTATTGTATTCCTGGTGAGGTTTGATTAGCTTGAATGTTTTGAACATCTATATTTATATGTTTTTATTTGATTTTTCAGCTCATGGTGAAGTTTGGTAGAGTTGAGTTATTATCTCATCCCGTTTGTAAAGCCTATCTATCCATGAAATGGTACTATTTTAGTTTGAACATTTTCTATGCGTATATCAACCATACATTTGAAATAATCTTGAACAAATTCCTAACCAAACCACTGGTTGCAATGATGTTAAAAGAAGTAAATACCAAAAAAAAAAAAAACAAGAAATGGTAAATAACACAACCACTAAAAATGTAAGTACTAAAGAAAAACAAAACAAAAAGTCAAACATCAAAACGATTTAAAAGACAGGAAATGAAAACCCAATATTTAGATCTTGTCTACCTTGCAAAGTTAATTTACATAACGTTAAAAAAAAACCAGACCACACAAGGAACCAGTTACGACTGGTTTAGAACTTCATTTCAATTTGAGTTCATGTTAATTCCCCAAGGTGAACACTGTTTTTGTTTTAAGAAGGGTGCCGTTAGTCTATGTAATACCCGTAGGTGAACAAGTGTGGTCTGGTTATAAAATAAAGATTGTACTAAAAACATTTCTTATTTTTTTTTAATTATTTGTTAAAGATATAACTATTTAATTAAAAGTTTTATGGCAGTTATGTGTTTTATAAATGATTTTTAAGACATTATTGCCAATATAATGGAATTCAATGCGACTGTCATACAAGTGAGAGGTTTAGCTAGCTATAAATTCAGGTTTAAACCACCATTTTCTACATAAGGAAATGTCTGTACCAAGTCAGGGATATGACAGTTGTTTTTCATTCGTTTGATGTTTTTGAGCTTTTGATTTCGCCATTTTATAAAGGACTTTCCATTTTGAATTTCCCTTGGAGTCCTGTATTTTTGTTATTTTATTTTTCATCTGGTCATCTAATTGATACTTATTGCAAATGCTATTTCCTTTTTCAGGCTAGCCTATGGAGTTTGGCTGTATTCTATCAACTTTATTTTGTACATTGTTTTTCTTGTAATGTTGACATATATGGTAACATTACCATGTTTTAACAACTATTCACCCAACAGTACCAATACTACCAACTATACTTTAAAGAAAGGTGTTCATTCTTACACCTGTCACCAGGTAATATAACTAAATTTGAATGATTTTTATGGATAAAATAAATACTATAATACGACAATTACAATGGTTCAAACGGAATATGAATTAAACAAAATGTACGATTTACACCAATTAGACAAGTATTTAACAATTCAAATAAAATTGCACTCCTCAAAAACAGAAAAGACAGAAAAGACGAAGTATTGAACACAATCAAAAAGATACCAGTGAATACTTCATATTTTTATTTTTCTGTTAACATACGTTACATTTATTTTTGTGGCTTCATAATATACCACATATTTAATGACTGGTATTAAATGACTCATACTAATTAAAGTAGTTTTATATAACCATGTTGTTTGACAGATCCTAATTGCTCTATACTTAGTTTGGTGATGGTATAAATGTATATCATGTGGTATTGGCCAATGCTTAGTGTCTCAATTCACGAACGACATATTTTTGCAGTCTTAGATCCTTAGAAACCAGAAAAGATGTCTTAATTGTAACTATACCGATTGTGTCTTATTTCCAGTTGTGACATTTTGAATGAGTGTTTATTTACATGGCGGATGATGTATGTATAGCAGGAATTGATAACTCTGTCGACGCATCATGTCGCTCTAATGTTTATGTTGATGCATCTCCCCCAGTGTTTTTTTTGTTACCTTGATGGATCTTATTAATCGATTTATGAGATTTGAACATCGTTAAACTACTGTTGCCTTATCAATAATTATTTTGGTGGCCTAATATTACATAATGTATTTAAATTAAATTTGAATTTGGCTGTATATGTTTACTCTCTTTCCCGGTAACCTTTGGTATCATATTAACAGCAAGCAGTACATCTTTTATTAAACAGCACTAGTGGTATATCGACCTTTAATAACAATTTAAACTTTGTAGGCAATTGCAAGAGATAAATATCCCAACATTTATGAATTTCTTTAACTTTTTAAGACGTCAGATATAGAGTATGACCATAGATCAAAACAACTCCTTGAAAGTGCCCCGAACTTGATGTGATGAGGAAGTATAAGAATCTTTTCTTTAAACAAATGCAAACCAGAGTAAACCGTGGTTTACCGATGTTCAAAACTCTAACCCAGATAAAACATTGAGGTGTCACATACCCACAAACTGATTTGATGCGTCGACAGAGAAGGTGTCTCCTGCTATGTATCACTCGCTATCGTATAAAAAATCAGATAAATAGTAAGCAATAAAAAATAAGACACAATCTGTAAATTTTCAAATTAGAGAACTTATCTTGAGTACTCAAACCATGTACCTCATGATTGAGACACACTCACCGTTGGTTAAGGTTGATCAATTCGTGATGGCAACTGTTTAATATTGTTAAGTCAATTTAGGCCATTTTCCTTTTATAAAAACCTGCTGGAGTTGCAAGTACACGATGTAACGTGGGTTATTAAGTGATGGAACATTATCAATATATTACAAGACAAAATTTAAGTTTGGAGAGATTTTAAAACAAATTCCTTTGAGACGGTTTTTATTCAATTCGGCCTCAAAGGAATACAACAAAACTTCAGTCAGAAGGGATGCACAATTAATACAACCAGACAAATATGTTTAAAGAAAGACAATGAACAGACAGACATTGTCGAAATGCGCATCTGGTGCAGAAAAAATGGGATCGTTAATGTTTTTTTTTTCAATATGTTTTGAGGTTTTGTCTGCTAGAACAAAAAAAACATATTTAGGTGTGTTCCCATTTTGAGAAATCGTCGTCCCTCTCCCAAAAACGGCTAGAAAATTGAAAACAATCGGTTTGTCTCGTTCTACCTCCTGTTCGAACAACAAATTAAGATTATTTTTTGGGGCATGGGGGTATGCAAAAACAATGTCTTTGATAATATGTTTTTTAAGATAGCTTTGACAATACTGTGACTCCAAACAAAACCTAAATTTATATCAAGCTAACTAGAAAATGTTACCTCATGACAAGATGCTCTTTTGTAGTTTATCATGGTCATTTTGCTGCTGTACCATTGACGTGTACTCCAACCTACACTGAGTGTACATCAAATAAATATTTCACGACAAAACATAGATACTGACTACCTACATTGACTTTAAAATATTTTTTTTTCAGACGGGCATGGGTTTAGAGATGGGCAAATGGATAGTTCTTCTTTTCACAGTTCTTAATATTCTGAAAGAGATATTTCAAATGGTTCAACAGGTATTTATAATTATAAACATTATGCTAAAGTCAAATATATATAAATCAATAATGGCGTAGCTTACAGAAACTTAATTTTTATCTGCACAGTGTCATCTGTTTGGATGTACAAGTTGTATGCACACTTAACAACATACGAATGATCAGTGGCGATCGATCAAAACTGGTGGAAAACCAAAGCAAATACAAAATTAAAGAGCATTAGAAACCAAACATTCTTTTTTTTTATCTAAAATACTACCAGACTTATATAAAATGAATTATTTGACATTTGGTCTGAAAATTTTTAATGTTGAGAGTTTTTTTTTTTAGATCTACCAGACAGTCAGTCTGTTTGACTATTATACACTTTTTTTCATCACTAAGCATTGAATGTTTTGTAATTTTCCAATTAATAGTGGTGCATACTTTGTACGAAAATCGTGTGTAACTTCATGTTTGTGTCTGTTTTCAGAGAGTCAAATATTTCACTGACCTTAACAACTTATTAGAATGGGTGTTGTATGTTTCATCTGCGTTGTTCGTGACACCTGTTTTGTTTGGCTACAGTGATCATCTAAACACAGAAGCGGGGGCGGTTGCTATATTTTTGGCTTGGTTTAATTGTCTCCTATTTCTTCAGAGGTAAGTCGAACTGTATATGCTTGTTATTTTTTTACCGGCAACTCGAAAATTATACCATCACCTTCAACGTTGTAATATGAGTTGGATGTAAGCAACTATAAGTGATCTAACGGCTTTCAACCATGAGCAAGACCTACAAATAAATGTTATCTATAAAATGCTCCGACATAAAAAAAAACTGAACATACGTAGATACAACATTTTAAGACAACAACACTCAGTACTACTTTTCGAATATTTTTTTTCTCGTTAATGATGCTGGAATTATTCATACTCCAAATATCAAACATTGAAGAGCATTTAACTAAAAAGGACTAAATATGTGGTTCATCTAACAACGGTATGTGGACAACATTCATATGTTATTGACATCTTGATCTTTTTTTGTTTTTTATCTTGTTGTGTATGTTAATGGCTGTACTAGTGTGCTATTCGAACATCGATTTACCACTGCTGATCGTAGTTTAAGCATTGCAGTTGGCACAATTAGAATTTTAAATCTTACATGTATCAATATGAATAAAAGATAGAAGTCACTTTATCAATTATTGGAAAGGGGAAAATCAAAATCCAAAAGATAATACACTAAAACGACAAAACAAAAGAGCCGAACAGGTTTAGTGATACCCAGGAAAAGACGTAATAGAAAACTTAAAACTAGAGCAGCTTACAATATGAATTCTGTATATGAGCTTAATCAATGTTTTTATATTGTTGCAGATTTGATGTATTTGGGATCTATGTGATCATGTTTCTAGAGATATTAAAGACCTTACTACAAGCATTGTGTGTTTTCTCATTACTAATCGTAGCCTTTGGACTTTCCTTCTTCCTTCTACTGCGGAATGAGGTAAGTTTACAGACAAACTTTTTATATGCCCCCTTTTGTATCTTCTCTTTCTATTTTATGTACTCATGTGTACTCATGTGTACTCATGTGTATCATAACAAAAATGTTCCAACAGCAACATGATTTTTTCTCCTTTGATAATAAGCTTAGATTAAGGCGACAGTGGTTTACCGAAGTTCAAATCTCATAAATCTATTAAGAAGAGACAAAGCATGACAACAAACATAAACTGATCATGAACTTCAAAAAAATTTATATCTTTCAAAATCCTTTTCAGTTTGTCATTGTGTCATTATTGAAAAGTCTAGAAATCAAATGTTTTTTTTTATGTAGTTGGGTTATAAAAATAAGAAATAGTGGTATGGTTGCCAATGAGACAAACTATCCACCAGAAACCAAATGACTTAGAAGTTAACAACTATAGGTCACCATACGGCCTTCAACAATGGGCAAAACCCATACCGCATAGTCATCTTTAAGAGAGGCGAAAGGTTCCAAAGGGATATTCAAACTCATAAGTCGAAATAAACTGATAATAACATGGCTAAAAAAGAAAATGACAAACAGACAAACAACAGTACACAAAACACATACACAACATAGAAAATCATAGACTGAGCAACACGAATCCCACCAAAAACTTGGGATGCTCTCAGGTGCTCCGGAAGGGTAGGCAGATCTCGCTCCATATGTGGCACCCGTCGTGTTACTCATGTAAGTAACCAGTGATAAGTCCGTGATAAATCTAATTCAGGAGGTCACATTCGGGGAAAAGAGGACGGGATTGTAGTTACGACAATTGGAATATATTCCTCGTCCCTCTGTAAAAGACCCCAAAATGACAATGTAAAACAATTCAAACGAGAAAACTAACGGTCTGATTTATGTACAAAACAATGAAAGAAAAACAAATATAAGGGTTGCTTATTCTCCGGGGCAATCTCCAGTGAAGTATTCCTGTGAAATACCTTCTGAGTGTACAGCCCAATACTGCAGAATATTATAAAAATTAACATAACATTAACTATGACCATTTATTTTTCTTATTCTATTATATCAGTCTTTTTATCAGTCTGTTATGCATATCATTTAAACATTTTTTTTTATATATTTATTTTGTAGACTTCTGAAGCTTATTCTAGTCCTGGATTATCTTTGCTGAGGACTGGGATGATGATGTTGGAGCTTGACTATATGGTGTCGTTTAATGAACCCTATACTGACAGTGATGAGACGACATTGCCATATAAAGCACCAACAGTTATACTACTCATTGTATTTGTACTGATCATGCCTATCTTACTGATGAACCTATTGGTACGTGTGTTGTTTGTGTGGGGATTAAGTGTTATCCTTGATCGTCCGTACTAAGTACGTCTCGAAATTGGTTTCCTTCTCTAACTTTAGTTTGCATCAACCAAATGTTATGATTATTATCACAAAACACAGATCAAGTTCGAATTTGGGTGGCGACACTTTTACCATTCTCGAGTTATGCCCCTTTATAACGTTGTATGCAAGCGGGGGCATCATCTGTGTCCCATGGACACATTCTCCATTTATTTTTTTTTTGAGTGGTAATGTAAGAATTCTGCAACATATGAATACAAAAGCAAGTCGGTCAGTAGGGTTGCACAATTAGTACCATTGGAATATTTACTGTCACTTGAAACATCAACCCACCAAACTAAACAAATCTGATGTAGATAAAAAAGTCCAATTATTTTGATTATGTCATCTTCGGTATAGCTATTTTCACAAAGTATCATTTTAATCATCTGAAACGAGAAATTTGTATCTACAATTCCCATTTGCATACAAAAAAAAATCATGATTAATGAGACAAAGTATAATAGTATGTTGATTTTGTTTAAACACTAGGGATTTTTATTTGATATTTATGTTGAAAAAAATAACAATAAGTGTTTAGGGGTTTCTATTAACCTTTTTTCTGAGATTACATATATTTATCAATATAATAAACACGTTGAATATAGTGTTTAGTTAGATGACGCTATCAGTGACTTTAACAGCATTTTCTACTGCTTTAGATTAACATTGAAGTTTATTAACATTTTCTTAAAATACCAATTTCATTTCAGATTGGTTTAGCTGTTGGTGATATTGAAGCAGTTCAAAAAGATGCTACTTTGAAACGACTTGCAATGCAGGTAAAGAAAAAATCCACTTACAATACAGAATTATCATTTCATTGTATTTCGTAAATAAAAAACTTTATTCTTCAAGGCATTGTTCTGAATTTTTATTTCCTTAAAGCAGGAGGACTTAAAACAAATACTCTAAAGTTAAAAGTTTTTGCGAGAGGTTTATGCTTGATAATTTCGCAATTGAGAAATGATCGTGAAAATATCCCAAAATGAAATGGATGTAAGTAACTTTATATTACCGTTCGACTCTAAACAATAAACAAATCCAGTACAATGTAGAATAGGTCCAGACATGACAGAATGTGAAACAATTCAAACGATAACCATGTATGACAGAAAGCAACCGACACCAACCAATAACAGACTCTTGATTTGGGACAGGCACATACAGAATGTGACAGGATTAAACATAATTGTGTAAAATATATATGTTTCTTTTTTTTAAGAACTTTCAATGACATTTTGATTGGTGCAGGTGAAGGGATCGAGAAACTAGAACATTGAAATGATTAACAATTTTATTCGAACAATTCTGAATGTATTTTAATTACGTTTGTAATTGATTTGAGAGTGTTATAAATATCTTTTGTTTATTCCTTACGAAGGTTGAGCTGCATACTGACTTCGAGAGACGATTACCTAAGACACTGTTGGAGCGAGTGGACAAAGTGAACATTAGAGTGTATCCCAACTGTAGGACGAGTATTCTATCAAGTGTAAGGGTTTAAACATTTCTTTTTATCAAATCAAATATAATGAGTTGCTAATTGTTCGTCTTTTATATGGAAAGCTTTATTAAGATTTTTGCTGATTTTTATCACATCAAGAGTTATCTAGCTTTAATAAAGAAATTAAAGCCGATTTCTAAAGGTATACCACTTTTGATGTATCTAAATTGTAGTAGACTCTTTACCTTCAATTACATTACTTATTCTAGCATAATCCAAAACATACTACATGTTGCCTACACATACTTCAGATGCTGGTGTCCATATCATTTAGTACCTAAATCGTTAATGTTTTCCTTAAATATCTTTACAAAACTATAAAAAAAAAAAAACAGAAGATTATGAATTATTCATTGCTCCTTTTTTCTTTACTGTGTTTTCATTTTAAACTTTCGGTTAAGTTTAGGTTAAATAATTTACTAAAGCTAATAGCGTCTGAATGTGATGTTGTCTTATGGTTTTAGGTAAGAGATATTCACTAATCTGCTATCTTATGATGTTTAATTGCCTAATATGACTCATCAACTTATTAAGCAGGCGGGTGTCATTAGCGAAGCAGGAACATCTGAGTAGTCTAGATCACCCACGATTTTTGGTGGTGTTCGCATTCCGCAATCTTTAAGTTTCATGTGCAGTGATTTGTTATAATAGTTTGTTGTCTTTTTGTCCTTTTTAATTTTCTGATATTATCTGTATTTTTATATAAAAGGTCACACTTTGTTATGAGAAATAATAAATTGTTATAAGTATTGGTTTCCTTTCAGCTTTGGTCTAAGATGACCTGGCAAAATGCAAACGATGACCCATCAAGACTACCAAAAGAAAATGCCGAGCTGGCTATGGAACTAATGAAACAAAAAGCTAAGTAAGTTTTCGTTTAAGTATTATATATACATATAGAGAGAGAGACAACAGCAGTTGAAATCTCACAAATCGATTATGACGACAACTCAATAAAATAAAAAATGAGGGAATCGCATGAACTCAAAAAGAAGCAAGACCTGGTGTGTTAACATGGTTAGCGTCTCCTAATATACAGGAATCTCCTGCCATGCGAATCAACACTCAGTCAAAATGTCATAATCAGAAAAAACAGTATCCTACAATGTCTGCCCCCCTGTGATTAAATCAAAAGATTGGCACAATAAAAATGCAAATGAAAAAAAAACAACACATTAAATATGTTAAAACGACTGCCGAAAAAAACTATATTAACATAATAATGTATGTTATGTGATCTTGTTTATAAGTGTTTTTAGTGTCTAATCAATTTGAAAGTTTCCATAAAATCTGCAAACAGATGATTATAGAATGATCATAGCTATGTTTTATTTGTCGTAGTCCCTTGCTCTTCCTAAAAGAGAGAGAGATGATTATAGGATGACCACAGCTATGTTTAATGTGTCGCTGTCATTATCCCTTCCTCTTCCTCCACTATGACATCATTTATTGCGACTTTCTATTGCATATGTACTTGCTACTAGATATGTTGGTGTCATGGTTATATATTAGAATCTGAAACTTTTGTAGCATTTAAGTCAAATGTCGTAAACGTTTCTGTGCTGGAGTAGATTTAGCGCAGTGAATATACTTTATTTGGCCCTTTCCAATCCTAGATAAATTGAACCTGGAGTTTAAACAAGGGACATTTGTATCTTGAATATGATATTTCATCCTAAAAGCTCATACCCAGTGCTGAATAATGATAAACAATAATCTATATATATATATATATTATAGAATTAAACAGTTGACAAGTTTTGTTGAGAAGAACCATGAATTACTCCGTTTGATAGTTCAAAAGATGGAAATAAAGACAGAAGAAGATCACATGGATGAAGGAGAAGTCATGACTAGAGATGAACTCCAGTGTAAAGCCGCTTGTAAGAATAATAAGTGGAAGTCTGCAAACCTTCAGAAAAATGTTAAACAAAGTATGGTTGTATCAAAATGGAAGCAGGTATCTACAGAGAAAAGAGATAATAAAACAGATTGTTAAAGCTGTTGTTATGTTTACAGGTTATATCTTCTGTTTAACATAATATGAATCATGAAATGAACTTATGTTGTTTTGCTTACACTTTAAGTGACTTAAGCACAGTTTAGAACACAGTAAAGTGCTGTCGACCAATGAAATCGTAGGATTTCGGGTTTTTTTATTGTGAAGAATATGTTGTAAAAAAAGTTCTTACTGAGGAAATATCCTATTGTTTACTTACAGTCAAAGCTCATAAAAAAATGTCTTATAATGAATTACAACTCGCCCGAAACTCAATAATCAGATTGACAAGATTTGTGATTCTACTCGATTATTGCCATTAATATTAAACAAATTGGATTGAAGGTACCAAACGACAATTAAAACTTATATAAGATAGACCGATGATACCATGGCAAAAACAAAACCACGGCCGTCACTCGGCTAACCGAGAGATTGGTCGGTTAATCTATATTGAGTATGCGGCTATATCGGCGGTTGGTCTGTTAATTGGGTTGGCTAAAGTCTGTTAATCAGGTGTTATCGAGAAAATACTTGCAAGTTCAGTATGTTTCATTGTATAACTTTTTAAATATATTTTTTATCATAAAAATTATTCATGTCTGACAAAACAATTCAATGTACTGAATCCAGTGGTGTAATTATTTTTTTTCTAGCTTCGATAAACAATCAATAAAATGAAAAGGCGGGTTACTCACCAATAAATTTATACACATTTTACACACACAAAATGTACACAAAATGACAACTTGGCTGAATTTACTTGCATGCAATATTTTGAACATCGAAAAAAGACAGGCATTATGTTTGTTAACCATATTAATATCATTGTGTGAAAAATCTACACGAAAATCTGTATTTTGGTGATATTAATCAACTTTTATTAAAAACCTCGTCTGTTAATGGGTCGGATGCATAAAACCCGGTCTGTTATTTGGTCTGTTAAGAGTTATGAAGGCAATGAATTCTGTTTCGTTGTTATGAATGACACCAAATTGTCATCTACATTGGTAACCAGTATATACATCATTTTTATAGTTCGTTCTTATGTTGTACTGTTATACCACTGTCCCAGGTTAGGGGAGGGTTGGGATCCTGCTAACATGTTTAACCCCGCCACATTATGTTTGTATGTGCCTGTCCCAAGTCAGGAGCCTGTAAATCAGTGGTTGTCGTTTGTTTATGTGTTACATATTTGTTTTTCGTTAATTTTTTTTATATATAAATAAGTCCGTTAGTTTTCTCGTTTGAATTGTTTTACATTGTCATTTCGGGGCCTTTTATAGCTGACTATGCGGTATGGGCTTTGCTCATTGTTGAAGGCCGTACGGTGACCTATAGTTGTAAATTTCTGTGTCATTTTGGTCTCTTGTGGAGAGTTGTCTCATTGGCAATCATACCACATTTGCTTTTTTTAAATCAGAGATAAACGTCGTAATGTAACTAAACATCAGTAAGTAAAATATATTGGGATGCTAAAATATAAAGAATAGAGAAAGAATAATGAGAAAAATAAATAAAATTTAGAGAAAAGTGACATAACAATTTAAAGAATACAGAAATAAACAACACCCCCAATCCGGACCCTCATGGTATACTTGAGAATCTGGATGGAGACGCAGAATATAGAATAATAGATAAGGACAGTAGAGAGTGATGCATTGCTAAAAAAGAGAGAAAAATAACAATTGTTTAAGAATACAGACATGAAACACCCCTTTTTACTATTTAGACCCTCCAAGATGATTGTTAAAACAATTTTGGCATTTATTCCACATCTCCTTATTTTTAAATTAATAGTATAATATAAGACAACGATATCTATATAGATGCTTTGCAATTTTTATACTGTATATCACTTTATGTTATTTGAGACTGGAGTCCGATAAACATTGGCCTCCTGTCAACCGCTGAATCTGATAGCTCAGTAAATATTGTAAAGTGCAAACAAAACAAAATTTCAGGGGGAGGGGGTGGTTGAAACAGTAACGGATTGCGATGTACTCAAATTAGAATTTTACAAGCGCACAACTGCAGTTCTCCTCTGCACTTATGTAGAAAGGAACTAAACGGAATAAAATGAATTAAAACTTAAGATAATCAAATGTAGCTGCATTCGCTTCTTTCCATTTACTTCTTTAGAATGTTTTGTAAACAACATATGATTAAGTAATAGAACAAAAGAACTAATTGGATGATGCTGACGAATTAGGGTTTAATGTCCAGTGGCAAATATCATGTCCATATGAGAACGACAACACGTTATATGTACCCGGTGTTGTATAAGACAGACACTTTCAGTCGGATTTTTGAACGTGCTTCTTTGAACAGACACAAAAATCAAGGCTGATTGAAACGTTAATAATAAATTCATGCATATTCTAGCGGCCAATCCATATCACGCTATATTGCAGTGACACACCTTTCAATAAAATGCAAAGAAAATCAAAATAAAAATGCTCTTACTACAAGGATACTGTTGCACCGTATTGTTATTTTTTTTTACTCAAGTACATCTCATTCTTAACTTTTTTAATGGGAAATTATAAACTTTTTTTAAGGTAGCAAAACTATTGTCGTGGCTAAATAACTCTTAACTGACACAATTTTAATTGTCCAACCCATTAACAGACTTTATTCCCTTAATAGTCACTAAAACGTGGTATTACTCACGTTATATTACAATTATGAAATATTTACTAATGTCAATTTATTTTTTAGAACCAAAGTACTATTCTGTGTCCTTTAAATGATATCTAAAATTGTTTGTTTCGCCTTTTATTAAAACAATTGCTATGCGTATAAGCATAAATACCACATACTTGCACGACGCCTTTTAGTTTTACTGAAGTTGTCGCAGACTATGAAATGTTTTTACAGGTGGAAAATGTTCTATGATAGATATCATTTTGTCAGACACTTTTCTTTTTTTTAATTGGTTCTTATAATATGCCAAAAATCTGTATATTTAACAGAGTTGAACATTTAAATTGTGCGTTTTACTATTAACAGACGTATAACCGAGCCGATTAACAGACCAACCGCCCATATAGCCGCATACTCAATATAGATTAACCAACCAATCTCTCGGTTAGCCGAGTGTCGGCCGTGAAAACAAAGACAAACAATGAAATGGCGATTAACAGTCTACAAATGGATACAAGCAACTATAGGCCTGTAACAATGAGCAAAAACGATATTGTATAGTAAGCAATAAGTGTTTTTTTTTAATTATGAGCATGAAAGTAAATCATTTTATTTTTTTAAATGATCTTTTATTTATTTATAAGTCCAAATAACAAAATTTACAGGATACATGTCATAAAATTTCCTTGTACTGTTGTGTCATTTGATGTCTACACTTTAACTTTAAAAAAATATTGGAAATTTCCATTACCACTAAGACTAGGAAATAGCTAAAAACTAAAGCTTAAAAAGAATGTCATTCAATAAATCTGTTCGTATCTTAAGGGTTCTAAAATTAAAGATATTAAAATGCAACATGGTTAAAAGATTGCCTGGATGAACGAATTCTTTCATAAACATGTTACATGATTTTTATTAGTTAATTCGAGTACTTTTAGATCTGTACTTTGTGTGTTTTGTAAGAGTTTGTTGTGCTTTGTATCGATCTGATGAGTTAAGCCTTTTCAACTGATTTTTATAGTTTGTTTTTATGTTGTACGGTTACGCTACTGTCCCAAGTTAGGGGGAGGGTTTGGCGCCAACAGACATGTCTAATCCCGCCACATGCTGTATGAGCCTGTCCCAAGTAAGGAGCCTGTAAATCAGTGGTTGTCGTTTGTTGCTGTATATCATATTTGTTTTTCGTTTATTGTTTTGCACATTAATCAGGCCATTGGTTTTCTAGATCGAATTGTTTTACATTTGTCATTTTGGGGCCTTTTATAGCTGACTATGCGGTATGGGTTTTGCTCATTGTTTAAGACTGTATGGTGACCTTCTATGTCATTTGGTCTCTGGTGGAGAGATGTCTCATTGGCAATCATATCATCTTATTTTTATATATTTTCATTATTTCATTTTTAAAGTTTTTAAAACGTTTTATAAATATGTTTGTGATTGCTTCGTGTAGCTAAGTGTAATGAAAATTATGTTATTTTACGAAACATTCCTTTAAGCTTTTCTATAGCCTTGATTTTCCATAAAACATAGTTCTAAGACATGATGATCAATCAGTTTTAACGCGATATATTTTACTGTCGACATCTGTCACAATGGTTTACCCTGTGTAAGCTTACATCAGTCTAAAAGACATTTATACCTTTGAAAGGTTGCAAAGATTTAATTTAAAAACTATTTCAAATGTAAAGCACAAATAATGTGTGCCTTGCTTAATGATGTTTCGTTTCAGCAGCCCGGATTAATAAATAAAAAAGAGAGAAAAAAATATATAAACTACCGCATTCCTTTGGTAGACTTTCTTTCAAAACTAGGTCAGAAGTATGTTTCCGCTTTCATTAGTTTACACAAAATGTTTGAAAAGTTTGTACAGAAATATTTTGTATTTATGTGTGCCATGCTTTATGATGTCTCACTGATGTATGTGATATTTTACGTTGTTATGTTGCCTTGTTGTAATAAATCTCTATTTGTTGTTATTATCAATTTACATCTATAAGCCCCGTCCATACATAAAATTGAGAACGGAAATGGGGAATATGCCAAAGAGACAACAACATCATTCACATATCCGGTGAAGGGAATGGTTGTGGATTTTGACTGTCACAGAAGAAAACGATTTACCTATATATATTGACTTGTGTTTTCTCGTATAACATTGAAATATTGATAATTTAGTATTGCTGTAAATAGACATTGATCGTTTGTCGTTAAACATAACAGATTTTAGTCATTTTGATGCAATTTTAACGCATCGGCTTTTCGCGCGCTTTGACTGAGTGTTGCAACCAATATTGAAAAATATCTAAAATGTATAGCCATCATTAGCCATCGATACCATATACAGCTATAATCATCATTCATTTTGCTTGAAATATATCTGCGTGTGCATTTTAACACATATTTTTAATATTTGACACTTGTCTTTTCTCTGACTCTGTATTCTCACCGAGACTAAATATTGTCCGCCTCACTGTTGCTTTGTATAGCCGCCTACATCTATATATACTTGCTTAAATAACTTGCTTAAATAACTTCATCAATATTATTTATGACCGAGAATAAGCTCAGAAAATATTTAAGGAAGTCAGTGAGTCCAGAGAGGGGGGTAAAATTCCGTACCCCAGTGGTATTATCAGACAGCAAAGGTATTTACCTTCAAAACCAGTCTGACTCATCTGCAATAGACCACATAAGGTGGTGGGTATAGAGAGGAGCGAAATCAGCAGAAAGGGTTGCCTGGCTGCGTGACAATATAGAAGATAAAATTCAACATCTTGGCCCCATCCATATATATATCTGGCTAGGTACTTGTGACCTAACGTCCATAACAGACAACAAGGGCAGGATCTCTCTTACTTCTTCAGACAATACCGCTGTTGAAAACATTGTTGACCAATATAGAGAGATAGTTAAAATACTCTCTTCATAAACTACTTCTAGAGTCACCTTCCTGAGTATTCCTATCTATAGTATCTCACTTTGGAACCAATATAAAAAACACAAAGACCCGGCAACTTTCAACGATCAGGACATTGATCTTAGGCATCAAATTGATAAACTTAACTTTGAAATTAAAGAGCTAAATACTTCAATTAACTCCGTTACACCAAATTTCAACTTGGACATACTACACAACCCAAGCAGACTAACTTGTCGCAACACAAGCTCTGTACGAAGATTTCAATATAATTTAGACCTCTATAGAGACGGTATACATCCAGATAGGCTCTTATCTAAAGTTTGGTTAAAGAAATTAAAAATTCAAATGCGTAAGGACTGCTGGACAAGAAATTAGATTAGCAGGCAACTATATTTTACTGCTTATTGGTATGAGTGGGAACCTCCACTCTACACCATTTCTACCTTATACTACAAGAAACTTTATGGTATGAGTGGGAACCTCCACTCTACACCAGTTCATACTTAAAGGAAGAAACTTGGGTGACTTTTAATGTACAAAATTATTTTAATCATCCATTCTAGAGCAAAGTTATTTTAATTAGACATTTTTGTGTATCTTATCGAACGTTTTTATCAGATAAATGCCTAAATTTTAGTGAGACAACTCTGTGCAATAAGATTTTACCTTTCTGGATATTTTAATTGTGTATTGAAGATAGATTTTACAAGTACTGGACAATAGAATTTACACTGGCTTTATGGTATGAGTGGGAACCTCCACTCTACACCATTACTTTTGATTATAGAAATAGCGGGTTCAATAAAAAGTTCTATTTCATATATACTCATTGCATTGCAGAGCAGGCACTAGCACTTAAAGAAACTTCATCTAAATAAGGATTTCTTGGTACGAGTGGGAAGCTCCACTCCACACCACTAAAAACCGACATCTCATACTCTCTCGTTGCATTCTCTGGTAATCTCTTCGCCTCACCAAACATCGTATATCAGCATAATCAGAAATAGCGACTTATTTGGTACGAGTGGGAACCTCCACTCCACACCATTATAAACCAATATTTTATACTCTCTCGTTGCCTTCTCTGGTAATCTCTTCGCCTCACCAAACATCATATATCAGCATAATCAGAAATAGCGACTTATTTGGTACGAGTGGGAACCTCCACTCCACACCATTATAAACCAACATTTTATACTCTCTCATTGCCTTCTCTAGTAATCTCCTCGCCTCACCAAACATCGAACATCAGCATAATCAGAAATAGCGACTTATTCGGTACGAGTGGGAACCTCCACTCCACACCATTATAAACCAACATTTTATACTCTCTCATTGCCTTCTCTAGTAATCTCCTCGCCTCACCAAACATCGAACATCAGCATAATCAGAAATAGCGACTTATTTGGTACGAGTGGGAACCTCCACTCCACACCATTATAAACCAACATTTTATACTCTCTCATTGCCTTCTCTAGTAATCTCCTCGCCTCACCAAACATCGTACATCAGCATAACCAGAAATATCATTTTATCTGGTACGAGTGGGAACCTCCACTCCATACCATTCTAAATCAATATTCTATACTCCCGTATTGCATTCTCTAGTATTCTCTCGCTGCCTTGTCTAGAAATCTCACTTCATCTCATTGGTTCGAGTGGGAACCTCCACTCCACACCATAGTTAACCGAGGTATAACCTTCTTCATTGTCTCTAGTCTTCTTTATACGGCCCAGCAAACATTAGCATAAATAGTAAATTCACAGAAATAGCAACTAAATTGGTACGAGTGGGAACCTCCACTCCACACCACTCCAAACCGTCATCCAATAGTCTTCCATTGTCTTCTCTATCTTGGGGTTACACAGTAAAATGGAAGAAAATAGAGTATTAAGGTCAACAAGGGACAGGATACCTACCCAGGTCTTCACACCATCAAAGACCAATATAACAGTTAAAAACTATATTCTTAATGAGAAAAAAGTTGTTAAAAAGCTCATTGATGCGACAGAAAGAGACATTGATGTACATTTTGAATATAAGCATGGTAACATTGTTCTAGAATTTACGCCAGCTGCATATTTACACTTTACTGAACGTATTCAAGCTCATTTTTCAAATCATGATACTGTTGATGTCAAAATTTTTGAACGAAAAGATAAAATGGGGAAAATAGTTGAAACCTCCATGTCAGTTCTTCAAAAAGACAACTCTAAATTTCAGCTTTACAGAATTAACATGTACAACTCCACAATGAGGGTAGAGGTGAATGGAAAATCTCACATCTTATTCATTGATGAACTAAAAACCATAGCTAACCTGATGTCAAACAAATCAACCTATCAACAGCTTAACAGTAAAATTCGTGAAGCTTGTCTCAAACTTGTACATCATAATGCATCTCATTTGAGTAATCCATCTACAACTGAAATATCAATAACAGCAGAAAAAACCAATGTTGATATCTGTCCAAAATGTAACAGGAAGTGTCTGAGTAAATGTATCGAATGCTCTGCTGGTAACCATTGGATCCACTTCAAGTGTGAAAAACTCACCAAGGAACAAATAAATACATTAGAGCAATCTCCTGATGTTCCGTATGTATGTACAATATGTACAAAAAAACAGAGTCAAGAGTCACCCAGTATAAGCATGATAAGCAGATATACTAGCCTACCCCCTCCTAATAACTATAAGAGTATAACACCAGATGGTATTGGGGAAACTCTGCTTGTACAACAGAAACAACAGAACAACACAATTGATTGCCCTCCTGTTACATTGGCGGAATCAATACTGTTTGAGGAATTTAACATCAGATCTGGAAATATGACTGAAAACTCAAATCCATCAGTCAACTCCGATAATCAAGCCCTGAGTAGTAGTATAGAACCGGTAATAAATAACCTGTCAAACTCAACGTCCAAAGCCATTGATACTGTAGCAGTAGAACAACTGCCTGTAAAACAAACCAAAACAGTCGAAGCTAGACCAAATCTAAAAGAAAAAGAGCTAAGACAAAAGGAGCTCCGATTAAAGAAATGGGAAGAAGAGCTCAAACAACAAAATGCCACAAACTCACAAAATTCAACCGAAAATGCTAAACTTCAAGCATACATCATGACATTAGAAGGTAAAATTAAAGAACTGGAAAATAGCAATAGAATTCTTAGAATTAAAGTAGCTGGAAATGTAGATAGTACACCAACTAATGCTGTAAATAATGATATTACAAACCCAGACCTACTCCAACACCATACCGAGCATATCACAGGAGGCTTTCCAATGCACCTTGAAACTCAACACCTGCATTCTAAAATACATAGTATGGAAAACATCAACAGCCTTAATAGAAGAGTTTCTGACCTAGAGTACAACTCCCTAAAGCAAAGACTAGATGCACTCGAATTGTCAAAACAACATTGGCCATCTCCTCAAGGTAATCATCTATACCATGGGTACCAGAATCATATATCAGGTCCACATGTAAATGGGTATCAGAACCATATGCCAAATCCACATGTAAATGGGTACCAGAACCATATACCAGGTCTTCAGGTAAATGGGCACCAGAATCATATACCAGATCCATATGGAAATGGGTACCAGAATCATATACCAGGTCCACATGGAAATGGGTACCAGAACCATACACCAAGTTATAATGTAAATAGCTACTATAACAAAATACCTAATCCACAAGTAAATGGGTACCAAAATCTTAAACCTGATATGCATATGAGAAATATACAGCCAATGCAAAATGTACCATTCAATGAGTCGCATCCACCAGGACATGTGCCTCTGAAGATTAACATGCCACATATGCACAACCCCAATAGTCACACCTATCCATGGTATTTACCACCACCTTGTTACATGAAAATGCAACCAAAGTCTGGCACACAGTCTGATATCGCAACAAGGTCTGACCAGAAACCACCGACGATGAAATGTAATACAAATTCAATGAAAAATTTTGTGACAGGCCTCCCTCTTCATCTCAACTCCACCCTGCCTAACAAGTCTCTAACTGATACACAACTTTCAAATGA